GGTCTTTCTCCCTGTGGGTGGCAAGAGCCCAAGCACTTTGGCCATCCTCTGCTGTTTTTCCCAGGCCATTATCAGGCAGCTGGATCAGAAGTGGAGCAGCTGGGATCAAAAAATCAGCACCCCTAGGGATGTCAGTATCACAGGCAACTTTACCTGAGAAGCCGCAATGCTGGCTCCTCCACTTTGTTCTTTGCAAAGGTGTCCTTAAAAGGTGTCAGGACCCACCCAGATTCTCTTCCTTCTAATCAACTCAAAATCAATTCATTAGGGACCCAGTCACAGGAGGGTATCCCACCTGTCAAGGAAAGGAGAGTGCAGAGGAGGACATGCATACACGAGAGCAGAAAGCTGATCTTGAAAGATCTTGGGATTCTGCCCAACACACCTCTTAGCAACTGAACTCTTCTGGAATCAGTCCTTTGCTCTTCCATCAGTGTGACTGGGGTGAAGAATTAAGGGTACTCTGGCGTAACCTTGGTCAACTGGTATAGTCATCTTCTGGGCAAAGTGGTCAGCTCAGAGCTGGGCACTGCCTCAGGTCAGTCATGCAGAACAGGGAATTTTGCTGAGGTGACCCAAGAAATATCTCTCTCTCTATCTCTCTCTCTGTAGCTCTGCCTTTCAAATTAATGGATATATTTTATTTTTAAGGTACCTGGAAAATGGAATTAAGAAATCAGTTTATTTTGAGGCAAAAAAAAATCTTTGAAGTTCATACGTACATTTTCATAATGCACACTTTCTATGGACAGTTTGAAGACCAATCATACACATGAATTTCAAAATTTTCAGCACACTGAACTTGTATCCAGTTTTCTTTTTTGTTTTTGTTTGTTTGTTTGTTTGTTTGTTTGTTTGTTTTGGGATTTTTTTGGATTTATGCATTGATTTGAAAGAGTTACAGGAAAGAAACAGAGAGATCTTCCACCTGCTGGTTCACTCCTCAAATGGTCTCAACAGCCAGGAGTGAGCCAGGCTGATGCCAGGAGCTTCTTCCCAGATTTCCCATTGTCAGGGGCCCAAAGACCATCCTTCACTGCTTCTCCCAAGCCATTAACAAGGAGCTGGATCAGAAGTGGAACAGCCAGGATATGAACTGTTCTCCACATGGGACGATAGCATCATGGGCAGCAGCAATCTTACCCACTCTGCCAAAACAGCAGCCCATCTTGCATAGTTTTAATGAATAGAAGGCAATATAGATGTCTTTAAAATCCCCTTGAGAAGCCAGAGTAACCATGGAACTTTTAAGCACAAAGAAATGTCTAAAAGCTGAGAGTGAGCTGTGTACCGTGTGCCCTTGGTGACCTGGCATCAGTCAAGCCAAGCAAACACACACACGGGACGCAGTGTACAGCCATCACCAGCAGGCACGGTTGGACCCTGGGTACCAGGACTGGAGATAAGAACTGAATTCAAGGTTCCACTGGACTGTAGGCAAGCAGAAGTCACAAAAAGATTGCCAGCCCTCATCAAGTCATACTTCGCAACCAGAGCAGGCCTGAAGGTAGGAGTCCTGCAGAAGAATCAGCTGTGGTGGGACTGAAGACATTTAAGGAGCAGGCATGTAGTCTAACAGTGAAAATGTCACATCCCGTATCAGAGTGCTTAGGTTTGAGTCCCAGCTCTACTGCCGATCCCAGCTGCTTTCCAACACAGAACCCGGTAACAAACTCAAGTAACTGGGCACCTGCCACCTCCCTGGGAGACCTGGAATGAACTCAGCTCTCGGCTTCCACCTGGCCACGGCAGGCATCTGAGGAGTAAGCCAACAGAGAGTCTGCCTGCCTGTTTATCTCCATCTCTGTATGACTCTCTGCTTTTCAAATAACAAAGAAATACTATGTAAGAACCCATTCAGCACAGGTCTTACCCAATCAGAACCACAGCCAGCTTGTGGGCAAGAGGCTAGGATCCCCCTGCATCCGGCTGGGGACACAGCAGAAGGTAGAGGCTATGTCAATCAGTAGGGCTGACATTGAAAGGTGAGCAGGAGGTGCACCTGCTAGTATGACCTGCTGCTTTCCAGCGTGCAAAGGACTGCGCATCTCCACTTGAGACCCCAGGGGTCCTGCAGGGCATGAGCTAGATTTGTCTTCCTGCCTGAGGCAATCACCAATTATATGTGCTGGGAGGCGAGCTGGTCTCCCTCCAGAGGAGGAGGTGAAGGGATTTACAGGATGTTTCTCTCTGATCTAACTTATTAGAGAAGTTAAAGAACAGCCAGGCAGGAGGCAGTGTGGTGCAGAGATGGAATCAAGACTCAAACGTCTATCAGGGCTGATTTGGATTAAATCTCGCTGAACCTCTCTCGGGCACAGTGCCCTCATCTGTAACGAGGGGATGGGCAATTGAAACAGCATCCGCCTGGCAGGTTCAGGGTGATGAAGAGATGACCTAGGGATGCAGTGACAGCCCCAGGAGAAACCCTGATAGGAATTGTCATTGTCACTATTCCAGGTAGGAGGAATCAGGAGAAGTGTGGAGACCCAAACACTGCCCCAAAGTAAGCAGGATGATGCTTAACTCAAAGGGAAGCGCTGGTTGCCAGGGTTTGGTCCAGGATTCATCCAAGGTCAGAGAAAAGCCAGGATGCAGAGAGAGACCCACGGCCTTTCTAGAAGCCACCTACCCAGAAGCCTTCTCCCCGATGTCCCCTCCATGAAGCCACTCTAGCCCAGCCCAGTCCAGCTCTGCCTGGGATACTCCCTCCATCCCCAACTCCCCTCTCCCCTGTGCCATTTGTAATAAGATAAATGACCTGCACCTTCAAAGCAGCACTAGGTAAGGCTTCCCCGCCAGAATGCCACATCAGATCTTCAAGAACACCTAGGGCCACGCCTTTTGCACTCAAGGCTGTCTCTGGGTTTTCTGTCATCACTGCATGTGACAGCTGGCAGGACACCTATTGAGGCTGTGTCGGAAAAAACGTACCTGCTGCTCACAGATTTTTTGGAAATCCATATGAGCTTTGCTTCAGCTTCTCCAGATGCAAGATCCCTCCCTGGTGGATGTGTAACAAAGAGAACGTGGGATGCCTGACCTTCCTCCCCCACCCAAGCGAGGCAGTGCCAACCAGAAGGGGTGACACCTGTGGGTGGTGGCTGCCGCTGCTGGCCCCTTTCCTCAACTCTGACTTCACACCAGTGACTAACCCCGCCTGTGTATGTTTATTGTTTTTATATTATTATTTCAAGTCAGCCCCCAAGCTCTAGCGCAACTTTAGAATCCAAACATCCCCCATCTCCACTGCAGAAAGAAGACTATTTTCAAAGTTTAACTCCATAGCCAACTCCGGAGGAAAGCCGAAGCAGCTAGAAAATGTATTTAAGCATTGATTTAATGTTGAGCCATGCTAAATGTTTTAATTTCCAACCAAGGCAAGGCCCACCAAAACATCAATTAGTTCCAACAATCAGGCAGGACTATTGGCTTGTGTTGAGGGATTCATTTATTGTGGCCTTGGTAACTATCGAAGGAGGCAGAGGACTCCAGTGCAGCTCGCAGGTCCAAGGAAGCGAAATCCAGGCGGAGGAGAAGCCAGAGTAGGTCTTGGCTAACAGGAGTCTTTTCCTTCTCCCACTTCTCTTTGGAGGGAGGGCGGGGACCTGCAATGAAATCTCACTCTGTTAACAAAAAAAGAATACCCTTCCCTCCCCACGGGTCTCTAAGCTGAAAAATAAGAGAGGCTAATTATCAGGCCCAGCCCCCATGTGAGGAGCCTAGAGAATTTGCAAGATCATTTTTTCAAAATTATTTTGCCTTTTTGGTGATTTTTCAAATGTCAGAGTCGCGGGCACTCCCCGCACAGCTGAGGCTCCAAGTCAAGGTTGAGAACTTCTGCCTTTTCTGTCACCACATACCTGTGCCAACTTCTTGGGCCACCCCTGAGGGCAGTACACTCAGGTCACCCAACACTGGGGCAAGGCCCACAGAACCAGCAGGGAACAGCCAAACCAAAGGTCCCAGTGGCCGGGCACTCCTAAAAGCAAACACAAGGCAAGGGCAGAGTCAGCCGAGGGTGGATTCATCCTGCCAAGTCCCAACCTTGACTCATCAGGGGGTACAAAGAAGGCGAATTGAGTGAGATTAGGTGACTCAGCAAACCAGGCTGGTCCGAGTCCTGAGTCACTCGAGGAGCTTGTCGAAAATGCAAATTCTGGGATCCTTCTCTGGAGATTCTGATTCAGGAAGGCCCGGGAGTTGTGTTTAAGCAGCACTCTAAGATAAATCTGATAATTATGTAATTTAAGAAATGAGAGTCTCCTGTCTTGGTGGCAGCCCTGGCAGGGGGATCAAATGGAAGACTGGTTTTCAAAGAGCCCTGCTCATGGCTTTCTGACACTGCTGATTCAAGGAAACTAGGACACCCTCTCTTGAGACGCCCTCCATCCAACCAACAAATATGGGGTCTGTATCTGACCTAAGAGCAGCCCAATGGGGACACAGAGTTCCCCGTCAGAGTCCTGTTTCCACTTTCAATTCCAGCATCCTGCCAAGATGCACTGTGGGGAGCAACAGGTGATGGCTCTAACGCTCACTCAGGTTCACCCACACGGAAGACCTGAACTAAGATTCAGGCTCCTGGCTTCTGCCCCACCCTGTCTGAGCCTGCAGACATTCAGGGATTGAACCAGCCAATGGGAGAGCTATCCATCTCTCACTGTCTGTGCCTTCCAAATAACAGTAAATAAAACATCTGTTTTAGAAAGTTACAACACTCTCCTACCCTGTGATCCAACCAGTCCCCTTGAAAGAGTTTATCTCACAGACACACCTGAGCAGAGGCACACGACACAAGGTCATGAGCTGTGGCGTGGTTAGTAACAGTTCAAAAAAACCACACAATGGAGAGGCTCACCCCTGGAGCTCCGGCAGTTACGGTGTACCAGAGACCAACAAAGCTCTTGTGTTTGGTATCTTGTGGGATGAAAAAGGCAGGGTGCAGAAGATGTATAAGTGTAAAGGTGTGGAAATACCTACATTTGAGTTGTTTGTGTTCACGTGGCATGCCTCTGGACACACAGAAATTTCCTGACGTTGGTTACCTCCGTAGAGGTGACCTGGGTGGCTGGGGAACGGGGAATATGGGGAAAGTTTTCCTTTTCATTCCTTTTCAAACTTGCATGTTTTAAACCTTGAATATTATATCACCTGCTCACCCGCAACTCTGTAACATTTTAAAACAATGTTTAGGAGCAAGCACTGGGCTCCGAAGCTGCTTGGGACAGTACTGTGTGTCAGGCAGCGTAACTGGCTCTTCTAGTTCTGACCCAGCCTCCTGTTTATGGGGCATCCTGGAAAGTAGCAGATGATGGCTCAAGCATTTGGGTCCCTGCCCCCTCCAAGGGAGACCCAGGTGTAGCTCCAGGCTGTTGGCTTTCAGCTGGCCCCACTCTAACTTTTGTGCGCATTCAGGGAGTTAATCAGTAGATAGAATATATCTCTCTGTGTCTCTCTGCCTTTCAAATTAAAATAGCATTTTTAAACTTTAACAAATCTGTCCCAAATATATGTATGTCATAGTTTAATGAAAAAAAGATTGTTTAAGATTCATTTATTTGTTTTTACTTTAAAGGCGGAGTTAGAAAAGAGACCGAAAGGGAAATCTTCCATCTTCTGGTTCACTCCCCAAACGGCTGCAAAGACCAGGATTGAGCCCATCCAAAACCAGGAGCCAAAAACTTCTTCCAGGTCTCCCACATAAGCCATCCTGCACTGCTTTCCCAGGCCACAAGCAGGGACTGGACTGGAAGTGGAGCAGCATCCCACATGGGATGCCAGCACCGCAGGTGGAGACAGCCTACCACAGCACTGCTCCCCCACCATAAGCAATAACCTGCGTGAGACTTCAGACAATATCCCGGACGTGATCAGACCCCCACCCTGAACCCTGGGGACCGTCTGAGCTCCAAGCCCTCCGGAGGGAACGAAGGGACCAAGAAAGAAAGGAAAGGGACAAAAATGGGTATCGGGGTTTGGGGTCCTGGGAATGGTCCTGCTCACCTGGGGGTGCCCGCGATGGGGACCTGCTGGGGCTGGCACTGTCGGACGAGTCCAGCCAGGAGTGGGTCTTGGCACCATCTAGTGCCCATTGGAGGCTCTGCAGCTGCGACACGCCGAGTCCCCGGCGCTGGGCCGGGGTCACCGCAGCCGCGTTCTCCGGGCCCAGGGAGGCGATCTGCTCCGACGACAGCTCCTGCGGGGAACAGGACAGTGCGCTCAGAGTGGGCTGCAAGGAGGAGGGAGCGATGGACAGAAATTTCCCAGGGTCTGGAGCCTGGCCATTTAAGAAATAATAACAACAACAATAATAATAGTTGTTGTTTAATAATTAAAAGAAAGGAAAGGAATTAAAACGTTTAATAAATCTTAAAAGACCTTTTTGGTCCAAAAAGAGGTTTCCTCCCTCGAGGTGATCGAAGTGGCAAGAGTCATGATTTTCTCACCGGGTGATTTAGCGCCATTTACTGCTGGGCAAGACGCCTTGCCCACCCCCATGCCTGCCACCTGCGGATTCCTGACGCAGAAGGCAAAACCACAGGCCGCAACTCCAAACAGCTAGATGGGAGCCCCAGCCCTGCCACGTTCTGGCTGTGTGGCCTTGGACAAGTCACATGGCTTCTCTGGGCATTGGAATTGGCCATGGCATGGCTAGAAGAACCATCTTCCTGCGTGGACTCCAGTCTTCTGGTGGAGCTGCCTTGGCATCCTGTGATGGGTCTTCCGAGGACTCCCCACCCCCATCCTCGGGAGAAGGGGAGGGAACACGTGGCTATCTATTGTCGATGTCTGCAGCAGAACACGGATGGGGGAGCGTCACCCTCTGGATCACCTGCCTTTGGAGGGACTTAGGATCAGATGGGCTGGGAGGATTCTGCTTCTGTAGAAGGGCTGCTGAAGTCACCCTGCAAAGTGCTGGGGAAGAGGGCCTGTGCTCCTGTAGCCCTCCCTCTCTCTTCCTCTTCACTAGGCCCTGCCGGCATCCCATCCCTCTGCTTGGAGCTCCTCCCAGCACTCCCCTTCCGGTCAGAGCTCAGACTTCTAAACATGGCCAGGGCAGCTTCAGGCTCTGGGTTTTCAGCCCCTAGAATCCACAGGGTGACACCTTGCCATGGGCTTCCTTCTTCAGGGAATATCATGCCTCCATCCCCACCCACCTAAGCTGCTCTCTCATGTTCAACATCACCTCCTGTCCTCTCACCAGGCACACACACCACACACACACACACACACACAGAGCAAGGTGCTATCCTTGTCACATCCACCATCAACACAGAGTATTACAACTAATATATGTGTGTGTACATATACATGTATAATATATATATTGTATATATATATTTTTTATATATATATTTCAATGTTGCTGACTTATAACCCATAGGCCAGATTGAATCTCTATGTGATTTCAAAATTAATTTGAGTCGGCTGCCAACATTTAATTATCAGGAGATTCCGTATGAAAATGAAGATTCCTAACTGCTTCTTCAGAAACAAAAAAAAATAGGAAGCGCCTGCAATAGTGGGCCCGTATGGTTGCACTGCGTTAAAAATAGATAGATAAGGAGGGGCCTCCCATTTAAACAAGGCTGCCTCTTTACACTGTTTCATGTTACCTACCAGGCCCCTGAAAGGCACTGTTCTAACCCCTCTCCCAGTATATTCCTAGGTACACTTAACCTGTCACAATGCAGGTGGCCAATAGGAATAAATATCTCAGTAGAGCAACAAGGAGGAAGTTGCAAGTGCACTGCAATCAGGACCAAGACAAAGTGTTTACCAAAATGCCAGGAACTGGGACTGAGCTGCTACCCCATGCGGAGCAACCCAGGGAAGCAGCATTTATGCGTCCCATCAGTTCAAAGGTTGCTACTGATCTTCCCCAAACAGCCCCTACACCTGCTCTGTGCTGGGAACTGTCTAGGCTGAAGCGGCCAGAGGCAGGCTTCATGGGAGTCTGTCTCAGCCTGACTTGCTGTCTCACCCGGGTGTGGAGACAGAATGAATCCGCCCAATCCACCAGCAAGCTAGAACATCAGGGTCACTGGTCCTCCCCAGAGCACAGGTGCTCCACCACAGTTCTAGTCTTGTGCATGGACAGAAAGCCAATACCTCTCACTGGGTACCTGTTTCCACTGACTCTGTTCCACCCTCTCTTTTTCTGTAACAGTTGTCTCCCGTCTCATTATTGTCTCCTCAACATTTTTCTTTATAGCAGCTATAATCTTCCTATTCTGGAAGAACATCTTCTACAAATCCACAGTCCCTCATCTGTAAATCCAAAGTCCAAAAAAAAAAAAAGAAAAAGGAAAAGTTTTTTCTAAAGTTTAAGACAAATTTATTTCCTAGAAAAAATTTGATCCGAATTGATATGAAGCTATTTATAGTCTCTATTTATTCCAGTTTGTATGACTTGTCACAATCTTCCTCATGGGAATATGAATGCATTTACTTCCAAGGTGCTCCTCTGAACACTGCTATATTAAGACACATACAATATACATATGGGTTGGTGATCTTTCAAAAATCTGAAAAAGTCTGGATCCTGAACTCTGCCCCAAAGATCTTACACGTGTGTTCACAATCACATTACATACTGTTAGTAGAAAATCAACATAACGTGTTATGCAGAAAAGGCAACCATATGACCATTTGTGCCCTAATCAACTGTGTAAAGATTATCAGAAAAGGCAACTGTAAAAACAAATACAATTGGGGCAAACATGGCCTCTGCTTGGGATATCTGAATCCCACACCAGAGTACCTGTTTAAGTCCCAGACTTGGGATCCAGCTTTCTGCTAATATGCACCTGTCGAGCATCAGGACTAGGGACCCTGCAGCACACATGAGTGACCCAAATGGAGCTCTGGACTCCTGGCTTCTGTCTGGCCCAGACCTGACTACTGCAGACATTTGGGGAGTGAACTAACTTATGGAAGATTCTCTTCTTTCTCTCACACACCTTTCAAATAAACTAAAAAATTAAAACCAAACAAATACAATCAGAAGAAAAATTTAAATTTTCAGAAAAAAATATTTTTGAGGTCCTAAACTTATCGTGTGAGCTCCCATTGCTGGTCCATGTTGCTGAGCTCTCTTGTGGCCCAGTGGCAAGCCCCAAGCATCCCCAGCCCTTCACCTGCTTCCCTGTGTGATTTGAAACGGGGTCAAGCTCCCATCTCTCCTGGAAAAACCAAGCACCTACTTTGAATATCTCATCGGGAAGGCATTTTATTGCTGATGGCTGGAAATACGGCATCAAATCCTTGTCGAGGGTTCGCAGCTCTGCCTTAGTTAATCCAGCTGGGGAGGAAAAGGAACCGTGAGGGTTTAGTTCAAACCATCGGAACTCTGCTTGTTTTATTAATGGAGCTGCATAATGATCAGAACTGCGTGTTAGAGGCAAGCATCATTCTTTACAAAAGACCCTGAGAGTCACACTGGGGAATCAAGTTCCTTAATCAACTCAGAAAAAAATGTGGGTTACATTAGCTTTGATTGGCCTCCTGTAGTGAAATGTATGCCCAGAAGGAGTTTCAATTTACACATTTTCAGATTGTGTATAAATCTATTTATGGGCCAATTAAATAGCCTTCTATACCAGTACTTTTCATGTGCTCAAGAATCTCCAGGAGAACCTGTTTAAAAAGGAGATTGTAGACACCACCTTCTTAAATGCCAAGTCATGAAATCCAGGCCTACTGTCACTCCATTGTTGTTTATAGCACATGGCCAATACTTGGTTTATTTTTAAATTCAGGTTTAAGTTTGAAAATGCAAGACAAAGGCATGCTCAGTTCTTCTGACCTGCAATGGTTCCAAGCTCCTGCAAGACGGAGCTGGTCCACTCGCTGGGATCTCCAAACACAACTGCTGCTTTCCTCTTAAACTCCGTCAAGATGGGAGGGCTGCAGAACAGGGTCCCAATTCTGGCCACCACTTCCCTGATTTAAGACAGAAGGATGGAAAGTAAGCTCAAGGAGTTCTCCAGCACAAAGAGTAATGTGTAGAAGGTAGACAAGTGAGGACCCTGCCAATTCCACTTACCACATTAAATGCAAAAACGGGCAAACCAGCAGAAAGTAAAGTGTATCTTGATGAAGTGGGGGAAGAAGGATGTGTGATGAGTGAATGGGGATGGATCAATTGACAAATAGATAGGTGAGAGGATGAATGGATAAATGGATGGTTGGGCAGAGATGAATGGGTGAATGGGTAGGTGGATGGGTAGATGGATGAGTGGGTAGATGGATGGATGGATGGGTGGATGGATGGATGGATGGGTGGATGGATGGATGGATGGATGATGGATGGGTAGATGGATGGATGAATGAATGGATGGATAGATGGGTGGGTGGATGGATAGGTGGACAGATGGATGGATGGATGGATGGATAAACAAATGAATGGTCAGATGCATGGATAGGTGAGTATGTGGATAGACAGATGGGCAAAGGGGTAGATGGTGGCATGGATGGATAGGTGGACAGATGGATGGATAGATGGGTGGATCATTTGCCATTTTACACACTGTTGTTTTGGTTACCTGAATTCTGAGATCTTTATCAGTGGGATATCAGTGATGTCCATGGTACACAGGATTGTACCAAGTCCTACTAAATGAAAACTCTTCAGATCCTGGACACCATAGCCTGAATCCGCCAGGAACCCTTGCAGAATAGATTTGGCCTACAAAACAGGAAGAATTATTTACTTCAGTCACTCTTACAACCTATAGACAAGTTCTGCATCAGTATCCAAACTTTGTCAGCATCTGTTTCCACAACTTTCAAACAGAATCCATCTTGTCTCTCAAACTAGTCCTTCCACTGGAAGTGTCTTCCACATTTCCAACTGTTATAATCCAGTCATTTTTCCATGTTTGGGTTCAGTTCAAACGTCACCTGTGGGGCCAGGGCAGTGGCACAAAGGGTAGTCTATTGACTGAAGTCCTCGCCTTGAACATGCCGGGATCCCATATGGCGCACCGGTTCTAATCCCGGCTGCTCCACTTCTCATCCAGCTCCCTGCTTGTTGCCTGGGGAAGCAATCGAGGACAACCCGAATCTTTGGAACCCTGCACCCATGTGGAAGATCCAAAAGAAGCTCCGGGCTCCTGGCTACGAATTGGCTTAGCTCCGGCCATTGCAGCCGCATGGCGGGTGAATCATCAGATGGAAGACCTTCCTCTCTGCATATCTGCCTTTGCAATAAAAATAAATAAATCTTTTTTTTAAAAAAAAGAAGAGGAAATGTGCCATTAGGTGATTTTGTTGTGTGAACGACATAAAGTGTATTTGCATAAACCTAGTTACACATGCTACTAGATACACACCTAAGAGACATTAGAATCCTACGGGACCCACTGTTGTAGGTGCCGTCAAGCACCTACGATATTCAAGACACATGAATATTGTCCCTATTTCACAGAAGAGCAGAGTGGGGCACAGCAAGGTTAAATAATCAGGCCAACATCGCATCACCAGGAAACGAGGGCTGTAAGATTAAAACCCAGACAGTGTGGCTTCAGAGCCTGCACTCTTAGCCAATGAGAACACTTGGCTACAGGAAAAGGCTCGAGGACTCACATTAGCTTGTGAATTTTCTTATTAAGTCTTCACAATCAGGCTTCCCTAGTCATCTCCTAGCAATTTGTGCCCCCAAACTACCAGGCATGCCCACTTTCAAAGGAGTGCAAAAAATACAATTCAAGTAAAATGACTTCAAAGATACAGTATTAAATTGTCCTTGCCACAGCAACCCAGGAAATGCAAGCTCAGCCTGCAAGGAGGTAAGTCAAAATATATTTCCCTGAATGACTGGACTAACGTATATGTAATGATTCTGAGACAATTAATACCAACACTTCTAGGCAATATTAACTGCTGAAAATGAATGACTGTAAGATTTCAATCTCTCTGCTCATCCTTTCGCTTTCTCTAATAGTTTTTTCTCCATTTTATTGGTTTTTAAACTGAACTATCTGTTAATGTAGTTCCGCCAGGTCTGCCTATTAATCTAGAATCGTGCATTTAAGGGTTTGATTGGGAGCTAAAGTTGAAGAACTGACTGCAAATGATATATGCAAATGTTAGGTTTTCATATCCTCTCCAAACATATTGATAAATCTCACTGCCATCCATGGGAATTAAAATTGGTGCAAGGGGAACGAGATACTCTGGTTTCTAAGTTGGATACATTTCTCTGTTTCTCCCAGACTGCAAATAGAATGATTTTAATATCAGAAGTGTGATGTGGCACTTCCCAAACTAGTCAAAACCAGTTCTAAAATCACAGCACCGTGACAGTACACAATGTCAGGGTGGGAGAAACCTCAGACTGCTGAATCTAACTCTTACATCTTACAAACGGATAAAGGATCCTAAAGAAGGGAAGTGCGGTGATGATGATGATGATGACTATCAAGAAACTAATTTTGATTGGTTTATATGTGCCAGGCATTGTTAAGTCCATCATCAAAGTCCCTTTTAGACCTAAGGAAATATAACTCAGCCGTTGACAAGAGACATTAGTGGGCCGGTGGGGAGAGCATTCCCTAGCCTTTCACAGCCTCTTTCCTGCTCTCAGCTCACGTGGGCGTGGGGAGACGGACTCCATTCGTTACTGCAGATCTGACCAACCAATGTGTTCTACCGCTGACCACAATTATTGCTTCAGAATGGGCAACTATATGACTGGAGTTCATCCTGGGATTGTTCCCAAAACTAATGAAAAGACACCTGTACATGGGATTGCCAATTAGGTGGTAGATAAGCCTAAAATGGAAAATGACCACATCGGAAGAACTATCAGAGAATGGAGATGACATGGAGGAGCAAAGTCTTCCCTTTCCAACAATGGAATTGATCTGCCTCAGCATCTCCCCCAACCAGGAGAGTCGAACTTCTGGGTGGAACATCGTCTTTGGCCCATGAAGAATTAACTACCACAGGAAGTTTCTTCCCACCATAAGCTACCAGCCAACTGAACAAAATCTCTAAACAACGGCTCTCAGATATTGAACAACAGAGCGCACAGGATGGCAATCCCAAAAGGAAAACAAGATAAATAAGGCAAGTTCTGAAATTGCCTTTGCTGAACTGTCCAGAAGCTATGAATTGGGAGAGGGGGACCCAAACAAACCCAGCAGTCCTGGCTGAGTTGAGGACACCAAGTTCAAGAATTCACAACAAAGCAGACCCAGCCAGCTCTCCTTCCTCACCACTTGACCACCACACTTGACACAGCCGTAAGTGGCGACTGCTTCCACTGACTCCTCTAAGAAACTGGAAAGACTTTGTCATTAACTTATTCAATACATATTTTATCATGTGATAAAACATACATGTCTAGCCCTATATTCGTTCTTTAAAGAAAAACATGTGCTATTCATCTTTTATAGATACCCATTTCTGGATCCAGGTCTATTCTAAGCCCATCTGAATATCACAGGCAGCCCCCAAAGGACTTGAAAATAACTCTTGGAATGCTTTCTCTCACCATACAAGCCGCCCCAGGAAGCTGCCAATCTACGATTTTTTTTTTCTGTCAATAATTACACAAAAACTAGAGAAAGAAAGGACAACAAGTTCACAGAGACCAGCACATCTAGCGTTTGCAGGGGAAAGTACTACACAAAAGAAAACTGCATGGAGAGAGAGGGGAGCCCTCCAGAAGCGTGCAGAGATATCCTCGTAGGTACCGAGCACTGATTTGCACATGCAAGGAAGGACACTCCAAAGAAGCAAGGAAGGAAGCATCGGAAGGCAGCAGGCAAAGCTATTCCCAGAACTCATATGGAGCTGCGGAGCATTCACGTTCCCATCAGCCACAGCGGAGAGATCTTGAAATAAATGCAGCCCTCCGAGTAATGTTGTTTCAATCATTCCAGAATAAAGATCACTCTGAACTCACCCTCATCAAGTTCAAAAGAATGCATCCAAAGGGGCAAAGCGGTCGGGAAGGAACCTTAAATACATGCCTAAACAGACAGCCCAGAAGCCTTTAAAGGAATACAAGCACCTCAAGCTTCAGTGATGCAAAATTTGTGCTGCTCGCCATCCACCCAGTTCACCATGCTTGCACCTGGGCAAGGAGACAGCTAGGAGACAACGCAGTTGAGAGAAGCAGACTCAACAATAATGGTGATGTGAGACCGACAGCATGTGCGTAAAACACTGTTACAAACACCACAGACGCAACCAAAAATATAAATGAACACATCCTGACACTGAGGAGATCCTTGCCCTATACACCTGGGGTCTCATATGGGCACCGGTTCATGTCCTGGCTGCTCTGCTTCCCATTCAGCTCCCTGCTTGTGGCCTGGGAAAGCAGTAGAGGCCAGTCCAATCTTGCAATCCTGCACCTTCATGGAAAGCCCAGAGGAGGCTCCTGGATCCTGGCTTCGGATTGGCTCAGCTCCAGCCATTGTGGCCACTTGGGGAGTAAGCCAGCAAACAAGGATCTTTCTCTGTCTCTTCTTCTCTCTGTAAATCTGATTTTCCAATACAGAGAAATAAATCTTAAAAGAAAGAGAGAAAGAGAGAGAGAGAGAGAGAGAGAGAGAGAAAGAAAGAAAGAAAGAAAGAAAGAAAGAAAGAAAGAAAGAAAGAAAGAAAGAAAGAAAGAAAGAAAGAAAGAAAGAAAGAAAGAAAGAAAAAGAAGGAAAGAAACTACAACTGAGCATTTAAAAGAGCTGGCACACATACCTGTCCTGGGGTCCATGCTGTGTACTGGCTAAGGGAAGCCACCGTGTCTACAGAGCTGAGGTCCAGCTGCTCCAGTTCACTCTCATTCAGAGCCAGAGCAATGCGCCCCAGGGACACTACGTGGTGCTTTCTCCAATACGAAGGTGTGTCCCAAAGCTCCAGGGCGGGGAGAGGACACAGAGCAGGTTGAACAGCAGGAACAAGCAGTTCATCTCTCCCCTCCCCACCCCTCACATTCAGACGTTGAAACCTAATCCCCAGGGTGACAGCTATGGGGGTTGAGGCCCTGCACCCATATGGGAAACCAGAATCTCCTGGTTCAGCTCTAGCCATGGGGGCCATTTGGGGGGGTAAACCAATAGATGGAAAGGCTCCCCCACTTTCTACCTCTCTGTGTAACTTTGCCTTTCAAATAAATGAATAAACCTTTTTTCAAAAAAAAAAAAAAAGAATGCCAGTTGGAGCCCTGGCTACACTGTGCTTTCAATCCTGCTTCCTACCAGTGTGTCTGGAAAGGCAGCAAATGATGGTCCAATTGCTTTGGTTCCCACCCACATGGGAGACCCATATTGATGTATGGACTCCTGGATTTGGCCTGGTCCATTCCTGGGCTGTTAAAGCGTTTAGAGAGTGAACCAGCGAGTGGAAAATCTCTCTCTCTCTCCCACCTATCCCATCAGTTTGTCTTTTCGATAAATAAAAATACGTAAGTACGTTTACCTACATTAAAGACAATTCTAGAAGATGTGTCGCCTCAGCATGCTAATATTTCTACACTGGCAAGAGTTGAGTGTAGTATAGCATAGTCATTTAAGTATAGGATGCTTCACATTTTGTTCTTGAGACTATAAACTGGCATGTGCTTTGAAAAGAAGATTTGGCTCCAAGTACCAAAAGATGGTTAAATACTTTTACTCATTACCCCAGAAAATCCCCCTTCTCAGAACTTGTTCTGAGAAATTGCAATTGCTCAAACATATACATACAAAGATGTACCTGGAGGCATTAAAAAAAAAATCTCAAATTCTGGCAAGTGGCACAACAAAAAGAGCCAGCCATAAAACAAATTTAACAGAGCTATATAAAACACTGCTATTTCTGATATAAAAAAATATACCTTCTCTATAGTTGGACATGGGAAGTAATTTGTTGACAGTTAAATGAGCATATTTTTACAACACATATGAATGTACATGAAATTTCATGCCAAATATACATGAAATTCACACTGGTATGTTGTCATATACACAGAAATCTGAGAGGCAGGGGCTGGCATTGTGGCATAGCATATCCAAGTGCTGGTTTGAGTCTTGATTGTTCCGCTTCTCATCCAGCTTCCTGCTAAGCACCCAGAAAAAACAGCAGAAGATGGCCCAGGTCCTTGGGCCCCTCCCTTCCTGGGAGACCCAGATGAAGATCCAGGCTCCTAGCTTCAGCCTGACCCAACCCTGGCCCTGGCTGTTATAGCCATTTGGGGAATGAGCCAGCAAAGAGAAGATTCATATTTATATTCTTTCTCTCTCTCTCACTCTTTCAAACAAATAAAATAAGTCCACAAAAAACAGCCAGACATCTGGGAAGCTTTAGGTAAACATACCAAAATATCAGTGCTTGTCTCTACATAACAAATTGTGGCTGAATTTCTTTTTTTATTATTTTTCCGACTTTTCTAAAATAAATTTGAATTACTTATATTAAAAAATAGAGTTTTAACATAATTTAGGCAATTTAGAACTGTGTATTGCACAACTATCCCAGCAGCCAAAATAAACCACCCAAGGGGAACTTCATAGATAGAGATACTTTATTTGCTGGTTCATTCCTCAATTGCCAATCAACAGTTGGGGATGGACCAGGCTGAAGCCAGCAGCCAGGAGCCAGGAACTCAGTCCATGTCCCTCACATGGCTGTCAGAGTTCCAGCTACTTGAGCCATTGCCTGCTGTCTCCCTGTGCATTAGCAGGAAGCTGGACTAGAAGCAGAGTCAGGCTTCCAACCCAGGCATCCCAGGTGGTGCCTTACTTGCTAAACCTAAACTCCTGCCCCTGTAACTATAATTTTAGATGATTTAATTGTTCATCTCAGGAGGGCAATCAGGTACTGCACAGCTGTCCCAGCAGCCAAAGCAGGCCATGGTGGCCAAGCACTGCAATCCTCTTGGCTTTGTTTTTCAGAGGCATTTGCAATCGACTCTGAAAAAAAAATCTGCTGAAAGCAGCAGTCGGCCTTTCCAAGGAAAGGAAGAAAAGGTCCAATTTCTGGAAGCAGCCAGAGGCATCCAAGCATCCCCAGGTCCTGGGTCCAAGCACCTGCTGAATGCCAAGACACATCTCTCTCTGCTCTCTGCCTCAAACCAGAAGAGAAGCTACACATCCCCCTGTTTCTCAGATCACCACAGAGAAACTTCAGTAAGAGAATGGATTTTGTGCCTGGTGTGCAACCCCTATCCCTCTTGAATGCATTCTCTGTAAGGTGAGCTTTACCTGCACCGCCTTGTCCTTCAGCGCTGTCAGCTGAGTGTGGCTGAACCCCTGGACCGCCCCCAGCAGCTCCACGCTCCTAAGGAAAGTGTCACCCTCCATGCAGAGCAGGTCCTCGGGGGCCCAGCAGGTGTTGGCCTCGGCCAACTTGAAGATGTCAAGGGAAGAGGGAGGTATGACTCCGTGGCAACCTGGGGAACAAGTGAGGAGGTGTAAAAGAAGGAAATGGAAAGGGGAAAGAGAATCCAGAGAACGTGAGCCTCTTTATCTATTGGAATGAGAATCTGTTCCAGTCAGGGTTATTCACAAGGTACCTTTCTTGCTAAGGACCTGGTCCTGAGGAAAGGCCAGTTTCCTGCCCATCCACGTGCTTCCAGCAGGAGCTTCGCAGCATTGCAACGGAACTACAAGCACTTTGAGGGCAGTGAGAGCTGGTGTCTGACTGTCCTGACATTCAAGTCAAACGCAAAGCCATCAGGCCCTCCGGACTCCAGCTTTCTGCTCTATAAAATGGGAATTAAAATGACCTCATAGCATGGTTGTGAAGACTCAATGCGATCTGCAGAAATTCTTGCCAAGCATACAGCAGGCACTCAATAAATGCTAGCCATCATTACCATTATTTTTGTTATCTGCATGTGCAACCCAACTGTTTTTGGAAAACCCCAGTGTAGAGAACTGGCTGCCGAGGGCAGAGGTGCAGAGACCGAAGAAGAGAGGACAAATCCAAGACACCACAACGTAGAATTTGAGGAGCAAGTTCATGGGCAGAAGCATGGTCTCAGGCAGCTGGGAGACATGGGTTCCCAGCACCAAGAGGTGGCAGGTCCTAAATAAAGAAAGCCAGTCAGACAGCCCCTGGACCTTTTTAAGAAATATTAAGATTCATTAGAGAAATTCTAGGCTCAGACAAGAGCCCTTCTGGATGTAAGAACATCAGATAAGAGCATCAGGTTATCTTAATGACTGTGGTTATCCTATATACCCTGAGAGTTCTCTCAAGGGTAAAGTGGCAGTTACATTTAAAGTGGCTGCAGCCATGTCAAGCCAATTCCCCACACCAGCATTCAGGGCTCCAGAATTATAAACATGGAGTCCTCATACCCAGTGGAGAGGAGCATTTGGTGTCAATAAAAATCACATCGGAGGCCTGGCGTGATAGCCTAGTGGCTAAACTCCTCGCCTTGTATGTGCTGGGATCCCATATGGTCACCGGTTCATATCCCAGCCGTGCCACTTCCCATCCAGCTCCCTGCTTGTGGCCTGGCAAAGCAGTCGAGGACAGCCCAGAGTCTTAGGACCCTGAACCCATGTGGGAGACCCGGAAGAAGCTATTGCCACCTGGCTTTGGATTGGCTCAGCTCCAGCCATTTCGGGCACCTGGGGAGTGAACCAGAGAATGGAAGATCTTTCTCTCTGTATCTCCTCCTTTCTGTAAATCTGCCTTTCCAATAAAAATTAATCTTAGAAGAAAAATTTAAATCACACTGGAGGGGAGGGAGCCAGTGCCAATGCATAGCATGCTAAGCCTCCAGCTATAGCTCCAACACTGCCAGTTGGAGTGCCAGCTGCTCTACTTCTGATCCAGCTCCCGGGTCATGTGGCCTGGAAAAGCAGCAGAGGATGACCACTGGGGCTGTGGCCTTCTTGCTCCAGGAGACCAGAGAAATGGGCCTGAGACATTTTCCCCGGCAATGGGAAGAATTCCATACATTTGAGCCTCATCTGATCAGATCCGTTGCCCACCAATCCCAAAACCGTGCTGTTGTCTTTGATGGCTGACATGCGCCACCTGCACGATACCCTAAGCGCCTTAGGAATAGTCTCGGATCTCCCGACTCAGCAGCTGAGCACCACAGGTGCCAACGAAGTCACCAAGGGGCATTTCCCAAGTCCTGCGGCCAGTCCCCTCTCACTACATCTTCCCTGGGAACTTCCCAGGACTCCGATCAAGAAGCACGGCAGTCGGTGGTCCTCAAGCCTCTTTGTCAGAACCCACTTGGAGGAGACAACAGATCTGTCCCTCTTGGATCCCTTCTCACCCACTGTAATGTGAAAGCAGGAAATACCGTCACAGAATTGGAAAGGAACAGAATGACTTCACAGCATAGCAGGAACTTGGGCTTACCACTGCTGCCTGCCCACGGTTTAGAACAGAGCCTGGCAAGTGGAGGGTATTCAGTAAATAGGAGAGGACTTCAAAACATCTTGGGAAAACGGACTTAAAAGACCGTGTGTGGGGGAGGGGTGAAGACAATGTGGATTTCTCTTGAACGTTATGAAGTCTCCTTGTATTTGTAGGATGCAAGCTGTCTCAAAAATTAACTAGAATCTGAGACTCAGTGCTGTGGCTCAGTGGGCTAAACCCCAGCTTGCAATGCTGGCATCTCATATAGGCGTGGGTCCAAGTCCCAGCTGCTTCGTCTCCAGTTCAGCTCTCTGCTAATACACCTGGAAACGCAGCAGAATCTGACTTTGCAAATAAATAAACACACCTTTTAAAAATATAAATTAACTGAAACGAAACCAAGAAGTAATTCTGCTCATTCAGTAAGCAATAATTAAAGAAAACTCTGTGTGTTTGATGACAGACCTTCCTCCCCAGGGCGTGGACAGATCCTGTTTCTGTATTAGGGGTACACACTTCATACTAGAACAGATAGGCCGAGCTGGTACTCCCCGCTGTGGCTGCCAAGCCCCAGGCCGCATGTACTGGGTGAATGCAAGCAAGCAGGGATCTCTTATTATTGTTTTTATCCTTACATAGCTATTTTAGGGGTCTGGTTAACCCTGATTCCTCATGCCTCTGAGAACACTCTTATTAAGGATAACAAAACTCCCCAGCCCTTCGCATCTACGATACACCAGGCGCCATGGTACCATTCTGAACAAGTGTGTGTTTAAACATATTATCCCCCATAATAATTCACTAGATAGAGACATTCACTCTCCCCATTTCACAGAGGAAGAAAACTGAGCCACAGAGAGGTTAAAGAACGTACTCAAAGTCACATATCTAGTTTGTGATGAGACTCAGGATACAAACCCAGCCAGTGTGGCCCTATCCTGGTGGTAGTTAGTGTCCAAGCCATAGCGGCCATTGAAATTTCAGCCATTCCCACTGAAAGGTTTGTTACCCTGATTGGCCTGTTCACCTGCTGGTATGGGCCATGAGTCCAAGTCCCTTCACAGTGCTGTCATTCCTTGGCCCGTGGGTACTCACTGCTGCTTTGCTTTGCAAACATTTCATCCAGTCTCTAAGACAAGGAGACCTGTGGTGGTCAGGGTCCCAGCCCAAGATGCTGCTGCCCAGCCACCGGCCCTGAGACCTCAGGGTATACTCACCAGGGGCAGGATTGGAGCTGGGGCTGTGGTCACTGCTGTTCCAAACAGATTCAAAAACAACCCAGAGGAACTCTGCAGGGGGCAAGGTCGCACCCATTTGGGAAGCTGCCTGTTGAAGGACCTCGGGAAACTGTAGAGGTTACAGAGGATGAAAGATGAGCCAGTCCTAAAACATCAGATAAAGGTCTACTCCAAGTTTAAGCCGCAACACTGCTTACGGCCTCCATTTGTTTTCTTTGCAGCAATTTCTCATATAGATTTAACCCCAGTGGGGCAGTTACTACAGCCTAGCAGGCTAAGCTGCTTGCCACCTGGGACACCTGCATCCCCTATCAGAGCACCAATAAAAGCCCAGGCTACTCCCGCTGGCTGGGCCAGTCCAGCTCCCTGCTAATGAACACCCTGAACGCTGACTTTCCCATGACCGGCTGTTAGCAGGTGGATGTGACTTTGGGGTCACACCATGTGTTCAGCTCTGCAGAGCGTGTACGATGACGTGTATCTGGTACAGGCATACAGATGCAGGAGTGAGAGTGTGTAATCAGTCAATGCCATCATTATTTGGTAAATACTCCTTTTCCACAGATGGATTTCCTGATCTGGTCGGGTGGGGCATGGTCGAGGGATTTATTCTGGCAGTTGGGATGTGGCAGAAGAGACAGAGTAGCTCTCACAGCCTAGGTCTCAGGAGTGTGATGCTATTCCACCACTCCCTTCTGGGGTTTCAACACTCCACACAGAGCAGGACCATGAAGGGCTCCAGAGACACACTCAGGGAGCAGGGCTGCTCCAGGCAGAGTGAGTAAAGCCCCGGTGGCACTGGCATCCCATATGGGCAACTGGTTCCTGTCCTGGCTGTTTCACTTCCCATCCAACTCCCTGCCGATGCACCTGAGAAAGATGGCCCAAGTTCTTGGCCACCTGCACCCAGTGGAAGACCCAGATAAAGTTTCCGGCTCCTGCCTTGGATCTGACATGCTGCAGCAGCAGCAGCAGCAGCAGCCATTTGGGGAGCAAATCAGCAGATGGAAAATCTCTCTCTCTCTCTCTGTCACACATACACACACACACACTCCGATTTCAAATAAACAAATCCAGAAGAAAACGTGATTCCTTCTTGCTTGTTTCACTTGCCTCTAGCCCAGGCTGTCCAGCTCATGGAGAGTCCAGCACCTAAAGGGCTGGGCCCAGTAGAGGTCCACGTTGTACACACTGGACACATGTGCATGTGTGTATGGTCCCAGCTTGAGTGGGCACACACGTAGGACACATGCAGAAAGCAGCTCAATGACAGCCCCTAGGCCTCACACATCTGCCTGGAGCATCATGTGAAAGACCCTCATTCAGTTGCTGCCTCACTCACTCTCTCCTGAACCTCAGACAATCAGGAAAGGAGTAGGAAACACTGGAGCCCCCTTGAGATAGGGAGGAAGCTTCTAGAACCACAGACAAGCAGCAAACCCCATGGGGTGTACCTGACCCCAGTTCCTCCCACTTTGAAATCCTTCAGCCTTCACAAAAGTACCTGTGTGGCAATGGGGCTTAATTCTTCTCTTGAGAAAAGCACGAGAAAGGGTCCCAAGTCCTTCATCGTCTCCAATGTCCAATTCCCAGGCAATCTGAGAAGACAGGAGCCGAAGAATGGAAATTCCTAATACACTTACTAGGAAACTTGCCAGACCCTCCCCTCACGCCTGAGCATCCCTGACATCCAGAAGCAGACCATCTGTATACTTGGGGAAGCCATCAATCATGTGGTCCCACTATCTTCACCTGCCCCCCACCAAAAAAATAATGACGGGCAGGGCATATCATGTACATTGACCCATCAGTCTTGCCCAGAGATGCAAAGAGAAACTGCCAGCGAAGATATTATTTTTTCTAGTTTCTCTCCTAGGAAACAGCACCTAATGGGTCCTTTCTGTCACCAAGTAGAGGAAATAAAGGCCACATCAAGGAGTAGAGACAAGCGACAGGAGGAACATGTTTCTGGGAACATGACTTGAACCCCTGGATCCAGTCATGCCGGAAGGTCACCCCTGAAGTCTTCCATTGAATCCTTGGATCAACATAACAGTCACTCCTGGCAGAAATGCAAAATTCTCTCTTGAATTTGACAGGATAGTAACAGCAGAGGCCCAAAATTCATTGCTGTCCTAATAGACCACAAATGTCCACCATGAAATGTTTTACGTTATCTCTGTTTATTTCTCTGAAAGAGATCTGCTCAGTTGGAATTGGCAGGTGTATCTCTGCGTGACAAATATCACCATCCCATCAAACCACAAACTCCCTGAGGGCAGAAACCGTGCCCATCTTAATAACAATCATATCTTTTGCCCTAGTAGTAAGACAGTTGTCATGTACAGCATTAGGTGACAGACACTGCCCTAAGTCCTTTATCTGTGCCAATTCAGATACCCTACGGAGGCTCTTGCAGCTGTGAAAACTAGGAGCAAAGGGGAACCAGGCAGAAGACAGGGCATTTCTGAGGCAGTGAAAAAGCCACTGGATGTACCATCATGGTGATCTTGTATCAGGATGCATGTACCCAAATCCACAGAACATTCAATACCAACAGTGATTCCTGGCTACATGTGGATTCATCACAGGCAAGAAATGATTCCACTCAGAAGGGATGTTGATAATACTGAAGCCATCCACATGTGGAGCAGGGGGCATTTGGAAAAATCCATGAGTTGTCACCTAAATGTGTTGTGAACCTAAAACCACTCCAACCTAGTCTTTAACAATATCATCTTGCTGTGGTGCCAACTTTCAAAACTCTCTCCCTGTCACGTGCCAATGCGCATTGGTGTCAATCACATGAGCCATAGGCTCAAAAGAGCAAGATGACAGTCACAGCATCTAAGCCTCCTCTCCTTAGCTAGGAGCCCTCTCCCTGTCGGTAAGGCAGGAGAGTCCAGCTCGGACGCCCTTCCACCCGGCACATCGCAGCAAGTCCCAGTGCCCCTCACCCGAATTCCTGCAGGAGCCTGAGCCTCATGGCAACCTTCTGCTCGGGGCTGAGGTGCAGGCAGCCTCTGAGAGTGTGCAGCGCTGTGGCCCAGGCCTTGGGTGAGATCCCTGTGCTGATCATAGCGGCCGGCAAGTGACACAGCAGGTGTCCCACGATGTCCACGGTGTAGTCATCAGCAATGGAGTTATCCTGAACCCAACAAGCAGAGGTGACGAGACAACCCAGCAGGGCACGCCACGTCATGATCTCTTAACAACACTCCCCAACCTGAAGATCTGAGGCAGGAGCTACCCCGCCATGGGTGACCAGAGATGGAGCAGGTGGTGGTTTTAACTAGTGAAAGCCCAACATGGCACATAATGAGCACTCTGCCCATGAGGACTTCGCAAAAGCCCAGCATTCAACAGCAACAATCACGACAATAATCAAAGAAATAGCATGCTGACATTCGTATGGCACTTGGAAGCTTGGCCACCCTCAAAATGACAGGACCAGCTCATGTCTACCATATATGTTTACAATGTGCCAGGCATTGGTCTACTAGACTAAGCATTTACAGGCCTTAAACCGTTCATTCATCTTCCTGATCATTGTGAGAAATTAAGTACTAGTAGGATTCACTTTTCAAAAGAACCTGGCAGCTATCCAGGCACGCTGGCCATTGGGCCTTTGCATTCAACAAGGTACAGCTCATTATGTATTACCAAGGACTCCATGAAGGATGTGGTATCATATCCATATTTCTGGTGAGGACCCTGGGGCTCAGAGAGAGGAAGTGACTTGCCCAAAGCCACATAGCCAAGTTATGGCAGAGGCATGTCTAAAATATACTCCGTGTATTAGTCTTTGCAGTTTCACAGAGAGGCTGCCGCTCAGGCAGGCCCCAGGCTCAAGGGGAGCTCTGGAACCAAGAGCCAAGGTTACCCCAAGCAGCAATTCCACAGCCAACTTTGAACCCTACAAGTCAGACCTCTAGCTGTCACAGCAGGTGCAAGATGCCAGCAACCCCTCCTGGAGGGGCTTTCCCCCTGAATGGGAAGGGATTTCAGCAAGAGTGGCCCGGAAGGATGTGTCCTTACCAGGCACTGCTGAACTTTCCTGATGACCAAGTCCCTTTTGTAGGAATCTAAAACCAAGGAATGCAGCCGTCTCTTTCCCAGGCTGATGAGGAAGGGCACACACTGGGAGGCTGGCATCGAAGCCAGGTAGCGCGCACTGCAGGGAGAGCAGAAAAGTGGGAGGAAGCCAACAGCAGGGGGGTGTTGGGGGGTGCATGCCCAAGACCTTATTCCAGAGACACCCTAACTTTAGCAGGGGAAACAACATGAACTCCACAACTGAGACAACTCATTTCAGCTACAGATGCACATGAGGAAGAAACTACAGTAACCCTAAAACAGAACAAGGAGCTAAAGCACTGCTTGTGAGAGCCGTATTCCATATAGTAGCGCCATTTGAAGTTCTGGCTGCTCTGCTTTCAACCGAGCTCCCTGTTAACGGGTCTGGGAAAGCAGAAGACAGGTCCCTGCACCCATGCAGGAGACCCGCAGGAAGCTCCTAGCTCCTGGCCCCTAGATTGGCTCAACACTAGCCTTTGAGGTCATTTGGAGAGTGAACCAGAGGATATAGAAGCTCTCTGTTTCTCCTCCTTCTGTAACTGTCTTCCAAATAAAAATAAAGAAATATTTAAAAGAGGAAGGAAAGAAGAAAGGGAGGAAGGGATGGAAGAAGGAAGAAAGGAAGAAAAGGAAGGAAGGAAGGGAGGAAGGGAGGGGAGATGTGAAGATGTGAAGAGAAAGTCTGTGTCTTCTCCCTGAAATAGAAGCGGGGACAGTGTGATCTTGGACCTGCCAGGAATCACTACAGACGAACAACCTGCCTGACAGTGAAGCGGACAGAGGAAAGCAGGGCTGAGAGACGCATGACATCTTCTGAGCCCTTAGACCCAGCTGTGCTCCAAGTCCATCCTCACACTTTCCAGTTATCCCCAAGGGAAAGTTCTCTTTAATGTCTAAGTCAGTTTGAGGTCAAGCTCCATCCCTTTGAACCAACTTCATGCTTAGCTATCTCCTCCCACGAGATCCTGAGTTTTTTTGAGGGGGGAGCTGCCTCTGAGTCTAGCACACAGGAAGGGTTCAATCCATCTTTCTCTGCTGAAGGAAAACCACAATGATAAAAGAAGGAAGCAGAAAGTGTGTCTGAGAGTAGGGCTGCTCCACCAGCCTTTCAGCCCACACTCAACAGGAGGAAGGTGCCCTGCCCTGCTCACACCACACCTGCCTGCACACCCTAGAGCCTGGGCACAGCTTCCAGGCCAGCTCAGTCGGAGCCTGCTTCCCTGGTCCTTATCCAGGCTTCAGTGGCTCGGGTGTTAAAATGAAGAAAAGCAGGAGGGTCTAGGAAAGACCTGGAGGGTGCTCAGAATTTCGATCCTGATGCTCCAGCTCTGACCTGCAAACTCTAATTTGCCTTTAGCTCCTCCAGGAAAGCCAGGAGGGAAAGAATTCCTTTGGCTGGGTGTCCTTCCTGCCAGGATTACAGCTGAGCCAGAATGGGGGGCTCGAGGAATCTCTGAGCGAGACATTGCGTGGAATGCCTACACCACATAAGGGGATGGCTGTCTCCTGCTCCCTGGTCCAACTTCCTGCTAACGTGCGGAAGGCTGCAAGTACGTAGGTCCCTGCTGTCCACGGAGGAGACCTGCTTTGAGTTTCAGGATCCCAGCTTCTACTTGTTACATTCCCACAGCTCTGTGGGCATTTGAAGAGTGAGCCAGAGGAACGGAGGATCTCTCTCAACCTCTCGCTCTCTCTCTCTCTCTCTCTCTCTCTCTCTCTCTCTCTCTCTCTGTGTGTGTGTGTTTAAAAGACAGGAATGGTAAATATCATGGGGCATCAGGTTAAGGCACCACTTGGTGATGCTCGTATCCCACACTAGACTGCTGATTCAGTCCCCAGCTGTTCCACTTTCTATCTAGCTTCCTGCTCTTGTGCCTGGGAAGCAGCAGCTGGTGAGTCAAGTGCTTGAATTCCCTGCTACCCACAAAGGAGACCCAGATGGAGTCCCTGGCTCCTAGTTTCAGCCCCGCATGGCTCCAGCTAATATGGGTATCAAAGGAATTCATCAGTAGAGAGAACGTGTCTTTATGTATGTCTCTCTCCCTCCCCTACTTTGCTCCCTCTCTGTCACTCTACCTTTCAAATAAACCAGTAAATCTATTTTTAAAAAATAATAATAAGTAAGTGAGTAAAATGAATAGGAAAGGAACCCATTTTCACTTACGGGAGGGCAGCCAAGAGGAAAGGCGGCACAGATGACCTGGCCACATCCCAGTATTTCCATGCCAGACAGTTAACCTGGAAGATGAGGCAGTCAGAGGAAACTGATTCAATCATACTGAAGGCAAATCCACACAAAGTACTTCTTATGTGCTGCCTGCTAGTCCAAGCACTTTGTCCATGTTTGCTTCTGTAACGGGATACCCAAGGACTTAGGTACTATTCCTGTGCCCAATTGATGGATGAAAAACACTGAGCTGATGACTACAAGATGGGCATAAAGATTAGATTAAATATGGCAATGTCCAACATCCGTCTTGTTTTAACTGCAAGGATGTGAAAGATGACTTGAAGGTCCCTCAACAGGGTTAAGTAAATGATGGCATATCCCATACGATGGGATAGTAAACAGCTGGTTTGTTTTGAGCTGGTAAATTTGTCCACATTCACAGTCTATGGCCTGAATGACATTACCAAGCGCATGTGCCACAGATGAGGTTCAACAGTACTAGAATGACATTTATGTTGTTTCCATCACACATAGCTATGGGTTATATTGATCAAGGTCAAGAGCCTTTAAGACGTCAGTGGTGGGGCTGTGGGAATTTGGAGCTCTGTCACAAAAAAGCCAGAGACAACCCGGTTCAACAGCAGGCCCCCACTCATCGCTTACTTCTGAGTAATTCTGGCATAAATACCTTTATAGGTTACACACACTCCATCCAGGCCTGGTGTCTAGTTGGGGCTGGGAGGGTAAGTGGGAGAGAAAGAGAATGAGATGGAGAAGCAGAGAAACACAGCCTCGTTACCTGATGCGGTGAAAGCAGGGAGAGGTTATTCTCAAAACGCTGGAAATGAGCCAGAAAGGAGTTGGCATCCATGGTGTTGATGTGCAAGCAGGTCATGCCTTTCACCAACTGTCCAGTGCTGGTAAACAAAACATGAACGGGGATAAGGAGGAAGGAGCAAAGAGAAGATTCTAACTAATGTGGGCTCCGGGCACGGGAGTCCACTTTCCCACCTGAGAAGCCAGGCTCTAAAGGGCCACTTCTACCCACGCGTGGAGCCACTGCCCCTACCTCAGGAGTTCCTCTGGCCTCTCAGTCGTCTCTGACAGCTGCTCATACAGGAACAAGGCCTGGAGAGAGAGAGGCAGGGACAGTGTAGCCAAAGCACTCACTGGATTGATGGGGAAAGCCCGCAAGTGGTGATCCCATTCTATAGATGGAGAAAATGAGGTACAATCAGGCTGTGTTCATTCCCCAGGACCAGAGACTCGCTAGACAGTAAGGGTCAGGATTTCCACTGGTGTCCAAGTGAGACCAGGCCCGCTGGAACCACGCAACATGATTCCCTGTGCTCCAAGAAATGGATGAGGAGCAAAGGCTTTGTGTGGCCAGGCTGGAGTCTTAAGTGGCAGCCAGTATGTCAGCCAAGAGAATCGCAACCCACATTGGGGTCCCCGCAGTCAACTCCTGACTCCAGTTTCCCCACTGATGCAGACCCCGGGAGGCAACAAGTGGTCGCTCAAGGAAGTAGGTCCCTGCCATTCCCATGGGAGACCTCAAGTGTGTACCTGACTCCCAGCTTCAACTCAACCCAGTCCGGGCTATTGCATTTGGAAAGCAAACCAGAGGATGCATTCTCTCTCTCTCCTCTTCCAAGTAATATACTTATCATTTTATTTACTTGAAAGAAAGAGAGACAGAAAGAGCTCTTTCATCTGCTGGTTCATACCCCCACACATACTCACAATAGCCATGGTTAAGCCAGGCTACAGTCAGGAGCCCATAGCTTCCTGTGGATCTCCTGCATGGGTGGCAGGGAGTCAAGCACTTGAGCCATCACCTGTTGCCTCCCTGCTAAAGTGCATCCGCAGGCAGCTGGAATTGGAAGTGGAGTCAGCAAGCCTAGGCACTCCAATGTGACGTGATGGAACCCCAATCAGTGGCTAGGACAAATGCCTGCTCCTCCAAGAGAGTTTTTAAGTCTTAATGAACACAAAGCTGCTGTGAGCGAAGGTCTCTCTGTGGCTCCTTCTCACATGTGCACCTGCTAGTTCCTGGGCAGAAGTCACCCCAGAAAGCAAAGGTGGATGAGTAGACCAAGATGCCCATGAAGGAGTTCCTGCAAGCAGCAGGTGCCCCCTCCCCCTCAAACCCTCCCAGTGAGCAGTCTAGAGGAGCAGTCCCCGGGCGGCAAGGGAGCCGTTCGTTTTAAGGAATGTAATTTTGCAGCATCCCTAACTTGCAGATGCGATGAAGCATGACATTCCTCTATTTTATAGACTTAGAAACTTTGAGTGTAATTCCCTCAGCAGAAGAAACAATGAGCTGGTGTCAGGCAAAGACAGCTGCGGTGCCAGTAGCTGAGAGGCCCAATGCATTGCATCTTAAGGGCCCACAGAAAGGAGCAGCAGGAGAGCAAACCTCAAAAATGTCCAAGGTCACAAGATCAAGGTCAGCGGTCCTCCCACGGTCAATCTCCATTTCAGGAAATGGCAATCCCATCAATTCAAGTTGTCTTGAGGCATTTGGCACCATGGTTAAGAGCCCCTCCACCTTGGGTCACTTGCATCCCACGTGGGAATGCTTGGGTTCTAATGCCAGCTAGACTCTGCTCCCACTTCCTGCTACTATGCACCCTGGGAGGCAGCAGGTGGTGGCTCAAGTACTTCAGGTCCCTCCCACCCATAGGGAAGACCTGAATGGAGGCTCCAGGTCCTGACTTCAGTTGGCCCAGCCCTGGCTTGTTACAGACATTTGAGGAGTGAACCAACATATCAAAGATCTCCTCTTTCTCCCTCCCTCTCTCTCTTTGACTTTCAAGTAAAATAAACACATCTTCAAAACAAGTTCTGCCCCTATAATATGTACCTTTCTACTGTTTTTTAAAGATGTGCTTATTTATTTGAAAATCAGAGTTACAGAGAGAGAGAGAGAGAGAGATCTTCCATCAGCTGGTCCATTCCTAATGACTGCAATGGCCAGGACTGGGACAGGAATCTCTCCCATGTGGGTAGCAGGAACCTAAACACTTGGCCTCTACTCTCTTGCTTTCCCAGGCCAGCAGCAGGCTCCTGGATTGGAAGTGCAGCAGCCTTGGCACAAATTGGTCACAGGCAGCAACTTTACCCACCATACCACAACACCAACCCCAATATAATCATCTTTCACCTTGACTTTTCCACAAACTTTCTGGAGTACCCTCAGAGTTGGTAGTACATTGCCTATACACCATGCAGTACAAACCACCGTACACAGAACAGCTGGAGCCAGAGAAAGAGAAGTCATCTTCCTGAAGCTGATGAACGCACAGGAGGCAGAATTCCTAACGTTATGGTGCTATCCTGCCTCCCGGAATTAACCACATCAAAATGAAATCAGCCTAAAAGCAGATCATCCCTGCCATCTGTCTGCGGGCAATGGGACCAAACCTGGCTCCGCCTGAGTTCCTTTTCCTTTAGCATCGTCACGTTGAGCCCAGGTTCTGTCCATAATCGGAAGAGTGATACTTCCTTAAAGAAAGCCCCTTGTATCTCCACCACTCCTGGGGCAGTGTCTCCTGCTCCGATCACCTGCAAGAGTGGGAGGAAACACAGTGACTACCTGGCACAGGGTGCAGTGAGGTTTGGGTAGGGGCGGGAGAACAAGTACAAACCAATCCATCGGACCATCCACCTGATCCAAGGAGGGACTATCATTCATGCTCATTGTACAGATGGGGCCACTGCGGCCTGAGAGGGATTGGCTGAGAGTCTTCCAAACCTTATACTCTTCGTGCCCAATCTATATGTTATTGCTGTTCGCAAAATGTCAGTGACGCAGGCCATGGGGAGGGGGTTGGATGCTTAAAGGATTCTGCAATTGGATATGGCAGTTCTGATGGAGTCCTATGAGTCAGATTCCCCCCAAAATCCCCCCCCCCATTGAGTGAGAAACGAGCATGCCTATGACTTTGACCGTGAGAATGGGCTTTCGACAGTACTAACTTCAGGACTGCGTCTCAGATCTGGAAAGCAAGCTTCTCCAGTGGTGACTTAGAAAACCTAGCCCTGGCAGGTGCGGGGCATAGAGCTGGATACCACCCAGGACATCTGCAATTCCGACTGGAGTGCCTTGGGGTTCAAGACCTGCCTCCACTTCCAGTCCCAGCTTCCTGTTCGTGCACTCACTGCCACTCACAGGAGAGACCCTAGTGGAGCTCCTGGCTCCTGGCTTCCACATGGCCAGGCCCTGGTTGGTGTGAGCATTTGGGGAGTGAACCACAGGAGGATAGCAGGTCTCTCTCTTCTCTCTCTTCCCCTCTGCTTTTCAGATAAAAATGTAAAAAAAAAAAAAAAAGTTTAAAAAGAAATTATTTAAAATTTTAAAAAGAAAGAAATCTGATATGCATTACAGCCCATTTTCCAAATGGCAGGAGCAAAGGGCTCCTTCTGGAAGCGAGGAGAGGGGGAGGCCACAGGGAGACAGTGGCTTGTAGGTTAAGATGAACTCCATCCACAGAAGCTGAGCCGAGATGCTCCCAGCCCTGAGTTAGTGACCCTTGTACACAGCCCACCCACAAAACCCAGCACCACCATCCCTCCTTGGAGCTGCATGCCTGGGGACCCTAACCTCCCTCTCACCTTCCTGAGAACAGCCTGCCGCTGCACAGGAGACAAGCTGGACATGTGGTGGGAGCCGGCGCCTCGCAGCATCTGCCAGAGGTCCCTGAGTTCCATGCTGTGGAGGACCTGGGTGCCGACACCAGCAAGCAGTACGCCCATCTGGCTGGCAACGGAAAAGGACAGCACCTGGGAGAGAATCAGCCACTGGGGTGAGACTATGTTCAGGCCTCCCAGATGCTTGCCAAGGCCACCCACAGGCCAATTACAGGGATGCTGGGTGGCACCTGAGCAGGGCAGGTGGTGCCCACCCAGGCCTGCCTGCCTTCACTCGGGGAAGAGTCAGAAATGCAACACAAACTATGCAGTGAACGTACTGCTGCCTGGACTTGCCATAGTCACACCAGGCCGTGGTCACAGAGGGTGCTGGTCTAGCGGTTAAGGTGCCCACAGCCCTGCCCAAGTGCCTGGACTCCATCAGCAGCTCCACTCCCCAGATGCTCACGCACACCCTGGGGGCTGCAGGCAACCGCTCAAGTACTCAGGTCCCTTGCCATTCCGCGGGGAGACCTGGATTGAGTGTCAGGCTCCTGGCTTCAGCCTGACCCAGCTCCCATCACTGCAGGCATGTAGGAAGTGAATCAGCAGATGGGAAATTCTCTTGCTCTCTCTATCGCTCGCTCACTCGCTCGCTTGCTCTCACTCTCACTCACTCTTTGACCCATCCAACTAAATCAAGTGTTTTGATTTTCGTGCACAGCAAGAATTCCCACGTTAAAAATGCAGATTTGAGTTTTTCTGTTGTGTTGTGTTTTGCAAATCTCAACGTCAGGCAAGCCTAGACCCACATCTCCACCTGGCAGAAAGTAGCAAAGGCCAGGCAGCAACCATGCTGTATGAGGTGCGTCCTGGTTCTGTTTCCCCAGGCCCTAACCCCTGGCCGGGCCCAGAAGCTGCCACCTTTTTCACCTAGCAAGCATGGGCCACAGCAACACCCCAGGTTCATCCTTGATCTAATAGCTGATGATGAACAGCCCGGCACTGGCTGTCCTATCATTAATTACACCTGCTTAATTACACATGCTTTCCCACTCTCCGTTCAGTAAAAACAAATGGCTGGATGACTTTCCCTGTAATCAGGGACATGTGTTGGCCCCCCAAAAAAGATCACTTGAGTGATTCCCTATAGTCATTTCCTGCAGAATAGACAGTCTTACTGTTCCGCACCCCTCAGCAGACAGAGCTAGGGAAGACACAGGCTTGTCCAGGAGCAGAAGGGAACAGCATCTCTCGTTCACCTTGCGTCACCAGAAGACTGCCCTAACTCTGGCCTGGAGTCAGAAAGCCCAAATCAGCGGACCGTAATCCCAGGGCTGTGATGGAAAAGGGCGCAGGAGGTACAGAAAATGAGCCAGCTCCGCAGCCAGATGCCCTGGCCTCATCCAATCTGGGTCTCTTCTACATGACCCTGGCGATGCCCTGATATGCTCTGTGCTTCTGTGAATGACCTAGAAAGAGCAGACCATGACACTGAAGAACTCATAGGTCTGCAGGAAAGATTCGGTGGTCCGCCTGGCCCAGAACGAGTGCTTAGCCAGTGCTTGTTGCTATCCTAATGGAACTGATTCTGACATTACGTCCTCATGCGCCTGCTGGCACCCTGAGAAGTGGCTGAAAGAACAGGGCACCAAAAGGCTGACAACCGACATGTCTGCTATCTGGAGCCCTTTCAGCCAGCCCCAACTCAGAGACAGCCATTCCCAACAGAAACAAAGCCCGCTTCCCATCGCAGCAGGGGCATGGGGGTGGGGGGGGGGAGCAGCACGCACGTGGACCAAGGCTCCCGCTGTGCCATCCCCACAGGACCATCTGTCCTGACAGGTCCCTCTCTGCAGTGCGAGACTGGAATCAAACAGCGCCATCCCCGATCCCAAGCTGGGGAGGCGGATGCGTTCACAGGCTTGGGAACAGGCAAGACAATTCTGGCCCAGTGGGAGCCAATGCTGGGAAAGCTGGTGGCCTACTGTGTTACTGAGGAGCCAACCTGCTCGCAGTCTTTGCAGCAATGCCACGGGACAGGTGCTGTTGCTGTCCTCACTTCAGAAATAGGCACACGGGGCAAAGCTAAGTTCAGCCCATTGCCCAGTATTGCACAGCTGCGAAATCACACAGCAAAGATCAGAACTGAGTGAGTGCCTCCCCAGGCCTAATTGAAACAGGGTGCAGATAGTTCACCTGAAAGCTGGTGGAATGCACATTGCTCTGGACTTCCCCTACCGGTGGACACTGCAAACTGCTAAGACCTTACACTGTGAATCACCCAGGAGGCCTTTCTGCACCTCCCACCACCTTATCAGGGTCCCTGTGTCGCCTCTCCCAACAGAATGGACTCTGCCTGCTGCTCAAATGGATGATGCCTCGTTTCTAACCCCCTGCCCTCTGACCTAGCAGACTTTCCCCCAACTCTGTCTTCTTAATCACTTCCTACCATGCCACCCCCCATAAACTCTTCTCTAACCACTCCCCCTCTTTCTGCGAACCCTAAAACCTAAACTAAAAACCCAACAGAGCCTTGGGGGCGGTGGGTAACAGGTTGGATGAGGACATAAGAAAACTGGGGTTGAGTGTGGCCCTGGTCCAGCAGGTGGGATGAGTGGCCTTCTGACAGCAGCACCAGTGAGCCGGCTCTCACAAGGGTTACAAGGACATGCCAAGGTGGTGACGACCCATGAGGCAAGCCAAGAATCAGAATGAAACTTGCCTGGGGCAGCAACCTGCCCTTGAACTTGCCAGCCTTTAGCAGCAAGAACAAAATGTTCATCAAAGAAGTCACGTGTGCCATGGTGCTGGGCGATGGCAGCCCAGGCTGCTCAGCCCAGAGTCCTGGAACATGCTAGGAGACTCAAAAGTTTCAACTGACCTTCTCCTGGGCCAAGTACTTGGCAGCCAAGATGAGCAGCTGGCTCGGAGTCCAGCCCGAGACCTGACTGAGGGTGGCGATGGCGCCCTGCACGGCTTCCGGGGAGAGGGACTCCAGCTGCCTGTGGGTCAAGCCCACAACCGCGTCGGACAGAGACCCCAGGCTCTCGTTCAGGGTCTGGTTCTCCGTGGCAATGTCGAGCAGGTCGGCTTTGAGCTGCAAGGAGAACAAAAGGTGTGGGCGGTGGCATGAGCATGGCCTGTGGCGGCCTGACACCCTAGGTGGGGGGAAGAAGGGACTCCATTGCCCCCTCCCCCTGGGTACCACAGCAAAGCCCTGGAGGAGACCAAACCCTCTCCAACTCCCCCAAACCCCACCTCTAGCCATGGCTTTCCAGGAGTGAAAATTTCCTGGGGGCTTCATTTAAATATTAATTTGTTATCAAATCAACCTGAAAGCAGAGTTTTGCTCCTTCTGACTCCACTGAACTCTCCTAGCTTCTCTTCATCCAGTTGTGACCTTGAACTCTATATCCATATCTATATGGCCACTTTTTTTTTCTTTCGTGAAATATCCAGGGGCTTTTTCCATGATAATGTATGAGCTGTGTAAAAATAATTTTCAACAGTACGAGAAAATGAAAGGCTCTTGAAAAAATCCTACCTCATAAAAATAACTATGATTAGCAATTGCATGTGCCTGCTTCCAGGACTTCTCGGGCCCACAGACAGTACGTAATCTCTATGGTTGTCATGTGAACAGAAGCATGAATTTCTGTTCTCTGTGTTTCCACTTAAAATGATGTCTTTTCCTGGTCTGTACATTTCTGTGAAGGTTCTAATAATGAGGTTATTACAATATGCCTGCCCGGTTTTAGTCAGCTGCTTGCCGATTCTAAGACAGGTGATTAACCAGCCTCTGTGACTTCTGAGAAAAAAAAAAAATGAGGTTGGCGTATGCTGGACTCTAATACAGTAGTTTTATGTAGTTCTTCAAGATTATTGAATGTGACAAAGCTGGGAAATAGGAGATAACCACAAATCCTAATTGATAAATAATTCTCTTTATGACTTGAAAAAAAGGGAGATCACTTGGCGTTATGAATGTGCCCTGAATTAGATCATTCCACGGTTCAGAATCGATGTGAAATTAATGAGTGAGCCTCTTTTTTCAAAACTACATGAATGGATGAATAAGAACGCTCTGTTGTCTTTACGCCATGAGCCTTGATCTTGTCCCGGTAGTGGTTGTAGAGTTTCTGAGCTCATTACACAGTCTGTGTTCAGATGCTCTGTTCCAAATCCCGTCAGTGGCCAGTGCTATCTATATAGCTCTGAGACAACAGAGTAGAGTGATTGGCCAACGGCAGTGGTTCTGGTGAGGAACAGGCCAGGGGTGCTGATCTCTTTGGCACAAGTTAGCTGTTGGATAGTTGGATGGATTCTAATGTTGTAAGCCTACACGCCTATTCGCCACAGACAGGTTCACACAACTGCTGCCGGCAATGTTAAAATGATCACTAGGGGGCAGCAGAGTGAACTAGAAGAGCCGGATCCCAACATCCCATTGTTGAAAATGTTGGCCACTTTCCTTCCCTACCCCTAAGGCTGCTCCACTCGGAAAGGCAAACGAGCGGGCTGGACCAGTGGTTCTCAAAGGACGGACCTCGGCCAGCAGCAGCACCTGGGAACTTGCTAGGAACTCAGCCTCAGGTCCACTCCAGATTTGTGGGGGACTTGAGGCACAGAACCAGGCAACATACATTTTAACCAGTGGCACCCCAAAGTTTGAGAGCTCCTGAGGAAGATGAGCCCAAGGGTATTGCCAAATCATGATCCGGATTGCCACAGCTACCCCTAAGGCTGCAAATTACAATCCTTTTCCTATGTTTGTCTGAGCTTATTTGGGCTAGATATTTTGCCGTGAAAAATAAAAGCATGCATTGACTCAGATAAACGATTATGTCAAATGTGATTGGGGAGTTTGTATATGTGTGTATGAAAAATAATGAGGAATTGAAGATGCATTTGTCACCTATTTTCTGATATCACCTTTCAATTAAAAAAAAACTGCGTTGGCATTTAGCCTAGCAGTCAGGGTGCTGGCTAAGACATCCGTGTTGCACATCAGAGTATACCTGGGTGCAGCACCTGCTTCCTGACCACAGCGTCCACTACTGCAGGCCCTGGGAGGCAGCAGGGATGCTCGGGTGACAGAGTTCCGGTCCTCTAAGGGAAACCAGGACCGGTTTTCCACCCCAGACGGGGTCATTGTGAGCATTCATGAAGTGAACCACAAGTGGGAAATGTCTCTTCTTTCTCTCTTTCCTGTCTCTCTCCCTGCCTTGTTCCCTCTGTCCCTTCCTTTCAAATAAATAATTTTTAAAAGGATTTTTTCCTTACTTATTTGAAAAGCAGAGTTTCAAAGAGAAAAAGATTTCTTCCCATCTACCAGTTCACTCCCTGAATGACTACAGTGCCTGGGGCAGGACCAGGCCAAAGCTAGGAGCTTGGAACTTCATCAAGGTGTGCCATGCAGGTGGCAGTGGCCCAAGCACTGGAGCCATCTTCTGCTGATTTCCCAGGCACCTGAGCAGGGAGCTGGATTGGAAGAGCAACAGCCAGGACTCGAGTTGGCACTCCTATGGGACGCTAGTGTTGTAGCTTATGGTTTAACCACCTATACCACAATACCAGCACCATAAGTTAAAAAAAAAAAATTAACCGAAAAAGACTAAAAGAAGTGAAAGGAGAGGGGCAAAATAGAGACTTGAATAGAAACAAGCAAAGAGAAGTGGAAGAGGGAAAGTGAGAACCAGCCTGTATTTGCTGACGTGTGCAAAAGCCGTGGTCTGGGAACTCAATGAATGCCCCGAATCTAGGGTTCCCCATCCTGACTGCCCTGGAATCCATTGTGGCGATAATTCTCAAGCCACATCCAGACCCATGACATCCGGGTCTCTGGGGCAGGAAGCTGGCAAGGCCACAGGGAACACAGAGACGATGGTTCAGGAGCCGTGGCTGTCTCCATGTCTATTCTGCGGACCATCCAGGCAGCACCACCTGGAAGCTTGTGGCAGGTGCGGGGGTCTCAGGCCCCCTTCCCCAAGACCTCCCGACTGAAAGATCCTTCTGCATGTGTTAGCTTGAGACTGCTGCCGTGGCTTTTGATCTATTCCTGGCATGTGTGTGTGTGTGTGTGTGTGTGTGTGTGTGCGTTTCTGTGCCATTTCTTCCCAGGTTACCTGTCTTTTTGATACCCTCTGCTACAGTTGGATTTAGATCTGGAGAAATATCACGTGTGTTTCCTCTTAAAAGCCAAGCAAAGCTGTTCTCCCCATTGCTCTGGAGAGTAAAACTGAGGCAGGACACCTTGCAAGGGCCTTGTAGCCCATTGGTACCTTCTGCACAGCAGCCTGGAAGCCTCTCAGGTGGCCGCACTTGATCATCTGGTGAAGGAGGACTTGGGCCACGGTGGCATCCAGGGCCTCCAGATTATCGTAGAAACAAACCAGCAACCCCAACCTGTGCAGGAAGAATCAGAGGTGCCAGAAAGAAAGAAAGGAAGAAAGAAAGAAAATTAGAGAGCTTCCCCCAAAAAAAGTGCAAAGAAATATACAGTATAAAACAAGTAAGCATAGATTTCAATTTTTTTCGACAGAAAAAGCACTTCCCAACATTTAGCCAAGTGAAAATTACTTTCACCTTGGCAAAGATCCAATCCTGAAGATTTGAAATGTTCTGTGCTGGGAGCTGGGATTAGCACTTGTTAAGGTTCTGCCAGATGCCTGCCCCACCAGGGATTTCCCCTTTCCTGACCCCTACAAGTAGGAGGACCTCTTTTGGAGTACCCCCCTCGAGTGCATGAAGAGATGAGGGTCTGTTCAAAGAAGGAGCCGAGCCCTCCCTCCCCCACCACCCACCACCCAGGGGTCTTTGCAGCTCAGGCATTCTGAGCGCCTTCATCTTGGGGAACTGCTGTGAGGGTCGGGAGCCCACACTCCTTGCCTGTGCATGGTGGAGGTGTTCCTCACGTCAAAGCCGGAGGAGCTGACCCTTTCCAGCAATGCTCTGGCCTGCTCGGGCGTGATGTCATAGACGGTGTCCAGCTGCTTTGTGGCATTGTCGTAGCTGATGAACAGCCCCATCTGGTGGGAAAGGATGGGAAGGGCAGAGAGGAGGCATCGCAGTGGCCTGTGCTGTGCTGTGCCTCCCCGACAGCCCACGCCCAGCAGGTAGATCACTGTCACTAGTGGTCCTCGAGTGCTGCTCGGGTTTCCTCTTCAACGCAACAGCAGTTCAGCCAGGTGCTGCTGAGTCTGTAATATTCCTCACATTGAGCTTCTTGGACGCTCACCTCTGCACATCGCTTTCAGATTTGTTGGACTGAGGTGGGCGAAGGCGGTGCTCACATATTCTGCTTCAGGCAGTCAATTCATTTTGGGGCCTGGTGCAAAGCTCAACAGCTAAATCCTCACTTTGTAGACACTGGAATCCCATATGGGTCCTAGTTCATGTCCTGGTTGCTCCACTTCCCATCCACCTCCCTGCTTGTGGCCTGGGAAAGCAGTCAAGGGTGGCCCAAAGCCTTGGGACCCCTGTACCTGCATGGGAGACCCGGAAGAAGCTCCTGGCTCCTGGCTTTGGATCGGCCCAGCTCCAGCCATTGTGGCCACTTGGGGAGTGAACTAGCAGATGGAGGATCTTTCTCTGTCTCTCCTTTCTGTAAATCTGATCTGCCTTCTCAATAAAAATAAATAAATCTTTTTTTTAAAAAATCACTTTGAAGGAATGAGTCAGTTTATGCCCAGCTGCCAGGATTAGAAGGGTGTGTGTGCTCTCTGTAAGACAAAGACTTTGAAGCTTATATTCAACTCCATTCACTGTGCTGACGCATCCTCTGCAGCTCAGCCCCCTTTTGCCCGTGAGCTCCAAGCTCTTCCATGAGGTTCAAAATTATTTCCCCTCATATTTCTCACAGATCTCACATTCCACCTTTTGATGCACCGTAACACTGGGTTTCCAGAGGTTCATGAAATCTCTTTTATAGGACCGTGTTCCTTATCCACACCACGTTCCCTCTGGGGTTGGCACTCCGTGGCTTCTCTCCTTTTCTCTATCAGCTTTCAGATGATGAAAAATTGCAAATGGATGCTTGATCTTAGAAAAATCCCCCGGGAACCCAGAGTTCTCTCCAGTTTGAACTTCTGTCTTCATCCTGAACATCACTCAACATTGAGAGAGTAGATGGGTGCATTAATCCCTAGGGCAGAGGGCGGTAACGACTGGAAGATGTTTGAAATACTCGCAGCTTCCCAAGAGTCAAAAAAAAAAAAAAGGAAGCTAGGCCTGCCGCTTAGCTTTGTGCAAATCAAAACTTGGTGAGTCAGCTGGACCCTAAAGGGGTTAATCATCTGAGAAAATGCTTCTCTCCCTGACCAAGAAAAAGTCAGGACTCCTACTAAAGTCCTTCTGGGGAAAAAAAAAAAAAAAAAAAAAAAACAGAAAAAACAAATTGAAAAAAATAGCTTATTTTAGTGCCAAAATTTTGAGATCATCCCAAAAAATTCATGGATCATCCTTATTGTAAAAAACACTTTGCATGAATATCAAAACTTTTTGCACTCAAACAAAGTTTTTCATGTCCTATAGAAACTGTCATTACAGAGAAAGAGAAAAATCTTTCTCTGGTTCACTCCCAAAATGGCCACAACAGCCAAGACTGAACCAGCACAAAACCAGGAGCCAGGAAGCCCATCTGGGTCCATTTGAGTCATTTTCTGCTGCTTTCTAAGGCATAGTAGCAGGAAGCTGGATCAGAACTGGAGGAATCTGGATTTGAACAGGCACCCTGATGTGGGATGCTGGCAACATAGGTGGTAACTTGACCTGAGGCACCACAATGCCAGCTGCTTTCCAAGAATATCTTAAAGTGCTCTCACTTCACTTTTAGAAAGCTGAAGGCAGGGGCCAGCACCATAGTATAGTAGGTTAAGCCTCCACCTGTGGTGCTGGCATCCAATATGGGTGCAAGTTCTGATTGCTCCACTTCCAATCCAGCTCCCTGCTAATATTCTTGAGAAATCAGCAGGAGAAGATGGCCCAAGTGAGAGAGTCCCTGAACTCATGAGAGAGACCCAGAAGAAGATCCAGGCTCTTGGCTTTGGACTGGCCCAGCTCCAGCTGTTGTGGCCATTTGGGGAGTGAACCAGCAGGTGGAAGATTTCTTTTTCTATCTCTTGTTCTTCTTTCTCTCCCTCTAAACCTGATTTTTCAAATAAATACTTTCTTCTTGGATAGGCAGTTTACAGAAGAAAGAGAGACAAAGAAACATTTTCTCTATCCAACTGTTCACTCCCAAGATGGCCTCAATGGGTGGAGCTGAGCTGATCTGAAGCCAGGAACCAGGAGCCAGGAGCTTCCTCTGGGTCCCTCACACAACTGCAGGGTCCCTAAGCTTTGGGGCATCCTCTGCTGCTTTCCCAGGCCACAAGCAGCAGGCCACAGGAGCTGGATGGGAAGTGGAGCAGCCAGGACATAAACCAATGCACATAGGGGATGCTGGTACTTGGAAGTAGAGGATCAACCAATGGAGCCATTGCCCAGCCCCAAACTAATAAGTCTTTTTAAAAAGTCGAAGGCAAGCCTCAAACTCTCAGTAGGTGCCTCCAGAGGAGGCTGTATTTCAGGAGTCTCATGTCACTGAGTCAATGTGAGAAGAAGACAAACAGGCCAGCCAATACACCAAGTAACTTAGGCCAGGCACACTTCTCCATCATAAACTCTAGAGTTAAAATCCAATCATTGTAGGTGCCGAAGTATCTATTGATAGAAGAGCTATAAAAAGAAGTCATTACTATCCACATTGATTTTGCTCTGGCTCCATCTCCCAACGAAGGACCAGAACCCTGAGAGGCACTGCTCTTGGTCTTCGTTGAGTACAAAAGTGCCCTTAACTCATAGCCAACACTCTCCTCATATCATGTTTGTTCCCCTCCGTCCTTTCTGAATTGCCCATGGTTCTATTTCTCTTTTCTCAGCCTTCCTGTGCCAGAACACGATCCTGTGACTGACCGCTTGCAGCCGTGTTCCAAGCGTTCTGATTTGCAGGCGTGAGCTACACCAGGCTAAGGCGGATGGACAATGTCCAGGGCACCTATGGACTGGCAGACTGAAACTCCTGGACATTCAGTTTAGAATAAACCCTACCCCAGATATATTTGTACTGGGGCCATAGAGATACACTTCTCCAACTCACCTCTACGGGACTAATATTCATGATTTCTTCAAATGACAGGTGAACCATATATCTGCCCAAAATCCATAGGTTTTCTGCACTGACCCATGAAACAGAGGCATCTGGGAAAAAAAAAAAACAGTAAATTCATGATTATATAAACGAAAACTTGATACTGGAATTGACAGTCAACAGCATCCTCATGCCAGACTTCCTTTTTGCATTCATTGGTTCACTCTGTGATGCCTTACCGAAAACCCACCTGTGAGTCACTGTGCCACGCCTGGGCAGTGATCACAGCTGCCTCCATCCCGACCTGAGACTTCGTTACTTAGCTATATCATCTCTGGACCAGCAGCATCTCAGAATTTGCTAGAAATGCAGATTACTTTTTAACATTTAAGACCACAAAATATAAGGTGTGGTTTTTTGTTTAAGTTCAACTAGTTATTAAGTAACCTTGAAATATGTTCGACTCCCTTTTCTTACTGGCACTAATAATGATCCTCATGTTTATTCTTTATCACCATGCTATCCTACCAGAACTGAAACAAACCCTAACGCTAACCCTTCCACCAGAGGCACCCTACACATTCGCCAAAGCATTGCCTTCACGAGCCCCCTGGCCTCGTAGCATCTTCCTTGACCCTGCAAGAATGAGAGAGATGACTTAACAGTCTTGCCTCTCCCCACACAGAATTCCTAGAGGCTTCGCTTTGTCACTCTGTTCCAACTTCACAATTCTCCCTCAGTGAAGTGTCCGTGGGATGCTGGGGTCCGTGTGATGGGTATGGAAGACAGGAAGGTGTGGAGCTGGACTCCGGCAGTGGGACTTGTCACAACAGTCACATACAGGATGCAACCTCAAGTTTTCCTGAGCAGGAACTGGCCATCATCCCTCCCTAAAACATGCTGACTACATAGGATTTTTCTACTAAAACTCTGTCCGTTAAGACCTGCGGAAGCAGAGAGGCTGAGCGACTTTCCCAGGGTTATGCACTGGTGAGAGTCAGATTTCAGGGCCCGGAGTTTTGCTTAGCAGCGGTCAGGCTGCTGCAGAGGCCATTGACCACCCACCTATATTGAAGTGCCTGGGTTTGAGTCCCAGCTCCTCCCACCCTCCCTCTATTCCAGCTTCCTGCTAATGGAGATCTCTCCCAGGCAGCAGGTGGTGGCTTAAGGAGCTGGGTTCCAGCCACCTGTGAGAGAGACTCCTAAGGAATTCCAGGCTCTTTGTCCTACCTGGCAGAGGGAAATCATTCCACATGCTTAGTTCATTGGTCATTGTGTTATTTGGCATTCTCGATACCCAAATCTCAGCTTGATTCCAATTGCTGAAAAAGATTGAGTGGTATCCCCCAAGCTCAACCCCACTAGCTCTCTTTATGTTTCCTCAACACACAAAGCTCACTCCCAACTCAGAGATCTTTGCACCTGGAATGCCCTCTCTTCAGAGTCCCCCCCCCCCCATGACAAGATTCATCTCCTCACTGTGGTCTTCACTCAAATGTCACATGTTCCAGAGGTCTCCCCAATTTCTCCATTCAGCACTTGGCAAAACGTAGCCCGAAGGTCAAACCCAACCTCCCTGCCCCGCCCCCCGCCCCACATGGCCTGTGAGCCAGAAATGGCTTTTGTATTTTTAAACCGTTGAAAGGAAAATCAAAAGAAGAAGATCTGGTGACATGTGAAAATGATATGAATTTTGAGTTTCAGTGGCCCTAAGTAAAGTTGTATTGGGACACAGCCAAGTCCATTCATCTGTTGTCTCTGGCAGCTTTGGGCTGAAACTTCAGAGTTGAAGAATTGACGTGGAGACTTCAGGCTCACAAAGCCTAAATTATTCAACAGTGGCCATTCGCCAGGAGCTGAATGCTTTAGTCTAGCCTACAGTAGTAACCCTTTCTATGGCATTTATCAATTTTATTTTCTTCATAGCTACCACTGTATAAATTCTCTCTCTCTCTCTCTCTCCCTCTCTCTCTATCACTCTAAACCAGTAGATCCATGAAAACATGGATCTTTTCTCTTCCCTTGCACCCTCAACTGTTCACACAGAATTGTCTTTGTAAAAAGTGTTTAAACATCCATTCAGTTTGTTACTGATATTAAAGATTTAAGGAATTGATGTCATTTGGGCAGTCGCTAGCATTACTGACATGCAAAGCCATTCTATGCCATCTTTCTCTCTCTTTTCTTTCCAGCTGTTGTAAAACACACAAACTACAAACCTCCCACCTTACCCACTTTCAGTTTCACCATTCAATGGCATTCAGTACATTCACCCTGTGTACCACCATCACTACCACCCATTGACAAGAACTCTTACCGTCTTGCCAAACTGAAAGCCTGCCATTCTTCTAATTTCTGCCTCAATGAACTTAGATTACTCCAAGACATAAGTGGCTCAAAAAATAAACATCTACCAAATACACAAAACCTGACTCCTTTCAGCTCAGCCCTGAACTCCTGTGCTTTATTGCCTAGATGTTCTAACAAAACCAGCCTGTCCCACTTCAAGGCAGATATTTTCTTAAGGATTTTGAATTCTAGGCTTTAAAAAATTGTCAGCAAATCTAAAATATGACTAAGAAACCAGCACACATCATTGATTGTAAATTAACGGGGCATCCTTATCTGAATGGAGAGACTAGCTGGGACTTGAATCCAGGCACTTCATCTGGGGATGAGGGTGTGCCAACAGTGGCTTACCCACAGCACCAAACACCTGCCCTGTCCTATCCCAGCAGTCACATGAATCCTTTCTGGAAGTGAGGGAGGAGGGCGGGTAAAAAAAAAAAAAAAAAAGACATAAACACACAAGAGGCAATGAACTCAACCCCAGTTTCCAGAGATGCAACCCCTCTTTAGAGGACAGGCCACCCCCCTCCAGAAAGGTGAGGCCACCTCAAAGCACACACTCACCTGTGAAGTTGGAATACAGCTTTAGAACCCCTGCCATCCAGGAGTACAGGGCTCTCTGGCCACGAGCCGAGGTTTGGTCATAGACATCTTTGAACACTGCAGAGCTAAACAACGCAAGCAGGGCCATCAGCTCGTACCAGCCCACAGCAGGGAAGCCCAAAGCTGGCTCCTCTCAAAACCCTTCCCACTCCTTTGCTCTAAGTGGCCATTTTTCATCTTCCAAAGAGTGGTTTATATATACTATTTTTTACTTCCTCAACCTCTTGATCCTTTTTAACAGGAAAAAAAAGGGGGGGGTGGATAGAGGGAGCAGATGGGAGAACACATTCAAATCATTTTCTTTTAAAAAAAAAGTCAAGTCCCCACGTCTCAATGTTCAATGAAGCCCCTGCTGGTCCTAAGAGGGGAGGCTCAGGTTGGTATCACTGTCTGGAACCCACACTCAGCTCCTTTATTTTTTTAACTAAGAAAGAAAGTCGCACGCTCAGAGCCTTGGCCCTATGGATCCATTGTCCGTGCCTCCTCAAAAGTCTCGTGCCAAAATCTCTCTCTCAGCCCCCTCAGAAATAATTTTTAGAAAATAAATATTACGATTAAGCAGAATGAGTTGCTACAAAGGAATATAGGTGATGATAAGACAATGACCAAAATAAAATGTGAGGATGGGAGCCGCCTGACTGGAATTCGAGAACCAGTCTTAGTCTCTCTAACGCAAGGGCTGCTAAGCCTCAGCTCCAGACTCCAGGTCAACCCCTGCCTGCCCGTGTCAGACGTCGCCTCAGCGAGCTGTCTCCCGCTGGAGCTCCCACAGCGGCCCCTGGTGGGCGGAGTGTGCAGTGCCGCAGGCGGGAGGCCGCACTCACAGGTTCTTAAAGACGTCCTGGCGCAGGTCCCGGGGCAGGCGCTCCGCGATGTCCGGCTGCAGCAAGCTCCCCGGGGACCCGCTCAACATCTTCCGCAGGATCTCCACACACTCCAGGGGGTTCAACACCTGGAAACACCTCTCCAACGTGACGAAAAACAAGCTGCGGTTCACTCCGGGGCTCTGCAAGGCTTGCTCTCGCATCCCTCCCAAGTCTATGACCACCACATCGTTCAGGTTCTAAAGGAAGGAGGGAGGCCCGGGGTCACCGGGAGAGCCGCCTCTCAACTTGGAAGAGGCGCCTGAGAGGAGTCACGAACTGCACCAGCGGGGACGTCCAGAATCAGTGCTTAGCCACAGAGAAGGTTCTAGAACATTTCATCACCTGCAGCAAAGTTAAGGCTTTCTCCTGCTCCACCTACCATGGGCCACTTCTCACCTCTCTTAATGCATCTCAGACTAACTTCAGCCCCGTTCCTTCTTCTAGTGAAATCCAGCTCCTCTTTAAAGTCAAGTTCAGCCGTCTGTTCCTGGGGAAAGACTTCTCTGATCCCCTTCGTCATTCAACACAGATCTCCCTCCACTCAGAGCTCCCAGATCATCCCGAGCCCAGGTCTGGTAGTCTGGTATAGGTGTGCCTGTCCTGCCTCCAAGCCCATAATGCTCAACTCTGGCTGCACGTCAGAATCGCCCGCGGTGCCTCTTAAAGTACTAACGTTCTGCACGTGTATCTAGAATTTGATGCAATTGGCTCAGGCTGGAGCCCTGGCAGCGGGTCGAATGGGCTTGCAGGATTGAGCCCTTGGAGACTCAAGCCATGTGCATCATTGAGTACCTAGAAGACGCAGAATAGCAAGAAGGAGAGAGAGGGAGGGAGAGAAAGATACCGGTAGGGAGCAACGCGGTAGCCTAGTGGCTAAAGTCCTCGCCTTGAACGTGCCTGTATACCATATGGGCGCTGGTTCTAATCCTGGCGGCCCTGCTTCCCATCCCGCTCTCTGCTTGTGGCCTGGGAAAGCAGCAAAGGACAGTCCAAAGCCTCAGGACCCTGCACCCACGTGGGAGACCCAGAAGAATCTCCTGGCTCCTGGCTTTGGATCAGCACAGGTCTGGCTGTTGCAGCCACTTGGGGAGTGAATCATCAGACAGAAGATTTTCCTCTCTGTCTTTCTTCCTCTCTCTATATATTTGCCTTTCTAATAAAAATAAATAAATCTTTAAAAAGAAAAAAAAGAAAGTTACAGGTAGGTAGTCAGGAAAGATGCTTTGAAACGTTGAAACCTGGAATGCTGACAGCTTCAGTCACAAGTTGTCGATGATTAAACAGAACAGAAGAGAGCATGGAGGTTGCCTTAATGTGGAACAGAGTTTCCCAAAAGGAGTCGGATCAATATCTCTACACCTCTGCACCTCACCTGTCTGGGTCCCAAGGACTTGGTGGATCTTGGAGGCCTTGCTCTATGATTCTCTTCTGTCACTGACCTCATTTTGTGGGGGGTTACTGTGTGTTCCCTCCAAAATGGGAAGCCACTTGAGGGCAGGCACAAGGTTCTGTGCCCACGTGCCATGGTGCATAGTACTTACTCCGTGGGTGTTCACTGAACTCACTCTCCAAAGATGCCCAGCGTCTCGCACTTCCTACTGCCTATATGAACAGGAATGACAAGTTTGCTTATCTGAACTTTGGAGAAAATCTAGGCCTAAAACTCCCGGAGAAGTTGAGAGAGGAAGGATGAAGGAAGAGACCAAAAAAAAGGGCCCAGGCCTGGCTCAAGCTCAATTCAATAATTCAATTCCACAGAGACTACCAAGCCCTAGATGTCCCCCTAATTCCGGGATGCAGAGGACACCTCACCACACGGCCTTTCCCGTCCTCTGAGAGGTACTTCATGGCTGTGTGGAACTGCTGCACATCCGTATTCCTTAGGTCTTCCAGCAGCTTCTGTGGCTGGTACAAATGCTGCTCCAGGTGGTTCTCCATTGCTGCCTGGACACAAGTGTGAAAGAGTAGGTGAGGATGCAGAGAGCAGCACGCGGTCAGCACCATGGCCAGCAGCCTGGTCCACTTCCCTGTAACTCCCAGCAGCAACCTACAGGTGGGTTTGGTTTGGCCAGCTCCAAAACACTTCTGTTTTTGTTTTTGGCTGTCAACAGTGAAAAGTCAAGGAATTCATTACAAACTCCATATCGCAATCTTCTCTTGGGAAATGATAAAACTGGGTCACACCAGGAATGAATTCTTTTTTGGATGATTGTCAGCAAGGCAGTGGCGACTGCCCACTGAAATAGCTCTCTGAATCAGCACAGATCCAACAGTCACAGCCGGCCTGGTCCCTGTAGGTGATGAGAACTTCACAGCCAAAGAAGGTGGAAGACAGATGTAGCAAGTAGAGTCTCCACCTGCCAACGCTGGCATGGGATGCCAGCGCTGGTTTGAGTCCTAGCTGCTCCATTTTCAATCCAGCTTCCTGCTAGTGTGCTTGGGAAAGCAGTGGAAAATGGGCCAAGTGTTTGGGCCCCTGGATAGAATTTCAGGCTTCTGGCTTTGGCCTGGCACAGCCTCAATTGTTATGGTCATTTAGGAAATGAACCAGTAAATGGAAGTTCGATCTCTCTCTTTCTCACTCTGCCTTTCCAACCAATCAATAAATCTTTCAAAAATAAGTAAAAATGGAAACAACAAAGACATATGTCGGAGCTTTATTCATTGTTAAACCAGATAATAGTTGTTGAGTACCAAATTAATACTCCTTTAATTATCTATGCTATTCACAATATAATGGTGAAGACATAACAAACCACACTGAGTTAATTGCCATGCTGAAAAGACATGTGCTATCCAGCTTGCCTGGGCTCCACTAAGCCCCTCGTTAAGACAAATATCTATTACTACCTACCAACATGATGTGCTGTTGTCCTCCCGTTAGCAAAGTTTAAAGGGGAGAAAGTATTTCCTAGATCTGTGATTGAAAGATTGATAAGTAAATCCAAACATCTACTCTCCTGGTGTTCTTTTTATCAATAGAATTCCTCAAATTTTAGCTACATACACAGCTGCCTATTGTGAGAAATACCTACAGCCAGTGGCCCAATGAAAGCTGAGCAGAAGGAACTATGTAACTTGCAGGTCACATCTCTAGAAGAGAAGATACTTAAGCATAACTTTCCCCTTTCCACCAGCCCCCTGGCTTGCAGAAAAAAAAATGTGCTATTTCAACTTTCTAGGGGATGACAGAGTGAGAAGATAAAAGGACCTCCTGCTTCTGAATGGCTTTGTAAGATACTACGTTTTTTCCTCTCTGAATCTCCCACTCAGATCCATGAGAAAAACAAACAAAAAAAATCCCCACTACATTGCTTGAGCTGCTTTGGGATGTCTTTTTTTAATGGACATCTCAGCCTGAACAGGAACACAGCCTGGCTCCATTAGAGGTGATAAAACAGGAGAGAGACAAAAGATCATTTGGCATAATTCAAGAAAAAAAATGTGGAAGAGACTCTGTTCTTAATGCGAGCACAGGCAGTCTCACTTCTCCAGCTACCTGCACCCTGGGTTTGCCATCTGTAGGCACTGAGATGGAAGTGCACAGGTAGGGCTCAGGTACCTACCTGCAGGCTGGGGATGGTGAAGGCAGCATCCCGTGAATGCAGGTAGGCCAGGACTTGGTGGGACAGGTCTGCCGTCCACACATGGGAGCTTCGGTTGAAGACAGACAGGAGAAAGTCACAATGAGAGCTTCTCCTTCAAGCAGTATTGCACTAGCCATGCCACCAGGGGATGGGAACTCAAAGGGAATGCTGAGAAAGCCAGGCACGGTAGGAATCCAGTGCTTGCAAGTAGGAGGTTATTAGCTTGGGACAGCAGTAAGGGGGTTTCCAAATCTAGAAATCTGCCTGGATCCCATTGTCTTAAAGACAGTGACCAGATTTAGAGCTAGACACGATATTCCAACTCTTGTATTAACACACTAGGACAGGCAAGATGCAGCACACCCCACAAGAGAGTAGAAAGGTAAGAATGTGGACTCCAGGACCCAACGCAATAGCTTAGCACTGAAGTTCTCGCCTTGCACACCCAGGATCCCATATGGGCACCGGTTCTAATCCCGGCAACCCCACTTCCCATCCAACTCCCTGCTTGTGGTCTGGGAAAGCAGTGGAGGATGGCCCAAAGCCTTGAGACCCTGCACCCACATGGGAGACCCGGAAGAGGCTCCGGGCTCCTGGCTTTGGATTGGCTCAGCTCCAGCCTTTGCGGCTACTTGGAGAGTGAATCATCAGATGGAAGATCTTCCTCTCTGTATATCTGACTTTCCAATGAAAATAAAACAAATCCTTAAAAAAAAAAAAAGAAGAATGTGAATTCCAAATCTGGATTTCAACTTGAGTTCTAACTCTCAAGTGGAATTTGATGAATTTGCTTGTGCACAAATTCCCCTTTTTGTGAAATATGGCTTAATGTCGTAAGGTTGAAATTTACTCATACATGCAGAGTGCTTAAAACAGTGTCCAACATATAGTCAATACTGATAAATAACCTTTATTAGTCCCAGTTTTGTGACAAATAAATAGATCAATGGATTCACTAACTAGTTAATTAAATATTTACCCTGAAAAAGTATACTACTTTTTCAGGGTAAATATTTATATACTTTTTATATTTATATACTTTTTCAGGGTAAATATTTATATATATATATATATATCCCAATTATCCACTGACATTATCTTCAGGTTCACAACCTCTGTTACAGAGTGAGTCCTTGATAAATTTTGAAACTTGCATTACAGCAGAAAAAGCAATACATGTTTTTGGAAAGTGTGTGCTTTGATTGACACTTATAATTAAGAGATTTTCATTAAGAATCTTCATTAAAAATCTAACCCATTTCTACTACCACCCCCACCCCGCCCCGGCTCGGCAGGGTGGGTTACCTTTGAAACTGCATGAAATCCAGCAATGCTACAGTGGGAATAAAACGAAAAAGACAACTTAAAAGGGAATCATTCGAGCGAGGCCACAGCTGCATTCTGTGTGGGATCCTTAGAGGACGCACGTGGGGCGGAGTGGGGACATTACCATTCAGATAGCTTCCCTCTATTATTTCTCCCTAAGAGGCAAAGGAGATAACATCAAGTATAACATTCAAAAGTTGGCAGTTCCAGGGGAGGGAATTTTGAGAAAAGGAAACGTGGAACACTCACCGCCATTTTCTGCAACAATGGATGCAAATCTGTAAGAAAGCCACGGGATGTGTCATTAGAACTGAATTGTGTGACCTTCAGAAATCCAATTACGAGTTTTGAGAAGAGCCTACAAAAAAGTGACTGGGGGGAAACTTTTATTGAACTTTAATTACACCTGTGTTGTAAGGAAAACGTGATTTGAAAAACCCTGTCATAATAATTCTGAAAATCTTCCTATACACCTGTACACACACACACACACACACACACACACACACACACACACACACACACTCACTCACACACTCACACTCACACACTCACACCAGGACACCCTAAGGCATCAGGTACCTGAGTTCATCTAGCTCACTACAACCATAAAATGTGTGGAAATCAAGGAAGGGGATTCCTGCCCCGAGACTCACCCTGCGTGGAACTGGAAACTCCACGACTTGCCACCCCATGGCTCAGAAAAAGGAACAGCAAAAGGGAGTCTATTGTGGGTTCCTGGGACATTTGCCTGTAACTGATTGAAACACAGAAGTGAAGTGACTCAGGTTTGTTTTATTAACAAATGTATTTGAGAACAGAAAACAAAGACAGACATAAAATCCCTTAAGTTTTTAAAAATAATATTTAAATCTCATCTGTTTTGCCCCATCTAAGTCCCTACCCTGGCATTACTATAACGGCCTTTTATATTCTTACCACTGTCATGCCATTCCCCTCAATCTAAGAGAAGTGGTTCAAACCATCGACTCTCATATATCTGACAAAATATTTATACCCAGAATGTACAAGGAACTCTTACAACTCAGTGAAAGGGTACATCAGATAAATAGAGAAAAGATACCAAGTTAAGCTTCATAAAAATAGATGTACAAATGGCCAGTGAACCCACAAAAGGTGATCGCAGCATTAGTTAGCAAGAATAGACAAATTAAAACCACACTGCAACTATTACCAAATCACAAAATGGCAAAAAAAAAAAAAAAAAAAAAACACAAAACACTAAAATACTGACGGCATCAGATGTCAGTGATGATGTAGATGGGAGCTCCCCTACGTCACTGCTATAAACACAGCTGCTTATAAAGAACAGACATATGCTGGAGGAATGCCACTTCTAGCTTTTCAGATTTCGCATCGCTACCTCTAACAGCTCCATCTTCGTGTTAGACTTTCCATTTGTCACTAAGATGCTTATGATTTCTCTACCTACTTGGACGTAGAGTGTATTGGTAATCTTCATCCTATTCTCAATCTTTTGTGCCATTCTTGGCCCAGTTCCTGCCCCATTGCATTTTCCCCCTTGGTAATCAAGCCATATTTTCCTGTAATTTTTTGATTGGGTGCTGGACAAATTTATATTGCCGGTTACTGGATTTTGTATTGCTTAAAATACTTCTGGGGTTTGTCCTGAAATGCAATTCAGTTCATTGAAATCAGTTTCGCTCTTCCAAGGCGTGATTTTTAGATTGGTTACGGAAGGTCTGAGGTGGGTTTCAGCTTGGAGCCAACGTGGCCTATTGTTAAGGTAATTCTCTTGTAAGTTATGGCCATCATGTGTGCATTTGGGGAGTGAAGTAGCAGGGGAAGGTCTCTGCCTCTCTGCTTGACTCTCAGATAGATTAAATAAATAAATATGTGCCTCTCCATAGAAAAAAAAAACCTTAAAAGATGTACCAGACACTTGCCACTTGCAGCATATGTATTTAACTTGGATTCTGATTCAAGTCTCTATAAAAAATGACGACAACTGAAGAAACATGGACGCTGCTTGGATCGTTAGAGATTTTAGAGAATTCTTGTTAATATGTGTAAATTTGGTGGCGGAATGGTGGTTCTGGGTTACAGGAGGAGAGGCAGCAAGCTACAAATCATGGCCCACATTTACACACGGTCTGGCTTTGTGAGATAAAAATGACTTTCATATCAATGAATTCATTAGAAAAATCAAGAAGCCAGCCGTTGTAGCACAGCACATTAAACTGCCACCTATGACAACCAGAGTACTGATTAGAGTTCCAATTGGTCCACTTCTGATCCCACTTCCTGCTAATACACTTGCCAAGCAGTAGATGATGGCCCAAGTATTTAGGAGCCTGGCAGCCACGTGGTAGACCAGGATGGAATTCCAGGCTCCTGGCTTTGGATGGCCCAGCTTCAGCCACTTCAGTCTTTTTGGGTAGCGAGCCAGTAGATAAAAATCTCTCTCTCTCCCTGCTCCCTCCGTCACTTTGCCTGATAAATAAAAAATATTTCTTAAAGAATCCTATTTCTTGACACACAAACATTTCATGCAGGTAATTTTAATTTTAGGGTCCAGGAATAAAGTTGTTTTGGAACCCACCTGTGCCCCTTCACCGAGGCAGGCTCTCTGGCTACTTTTGTGCCATAATGGCTGAGCCAAGTCATTGAGGCACACACACAGTTTAAGTTCATTGCAAGGTGGCCCTTTAAAAGAAACATTAGCCACTTCCTCTGTCAGAGCCACCTGCTTATACACTTACAACACAAATTATGTGATATCTGGGATTCCCTCCAAAAGAACACTGGAGTTTTAGGTGGTGGGAAGAGACCAAGCATGGTCATGCATGGCTTCACTCCAGCTGACTCTGAGGAGGCCCCAGCCCAATTACATGACATCACCCTCTTACACTATTAACAGGAATGCTCTGCACTAAAAGGAACCCCATCATGCACACCCATGGTCTTTTGCAATTATCTGATGGACGTGCCAGTCTTGTTCAACACATGCATCCCTGGTGTTGCCTTACCTGCTTTGCAAATGAATTGTTTTCTCCCAAAGAGACCTCCACAACCAGCTTGCAGAAGCAGCTGTGCTCCTTTTACTGCCCAAGGCAAAAAATTAACCATGAACTCTCTAGACACCAAAAACTGCACCTGCTAGCAGACGGGGTGAACCAGAACTCAAAGCACCCTGTAGGTACTTGCCTTCTGCGTCAGAAACATCACCCTGGAACTGGCCCAAGAGGGGCCACGTGGGAGATGTAAATGATAAGAAAACTTATGCATAAATTTAGATGATTTTTTTTCTACAACGAAAGAAACTCATCTTTTGATTCCATTTTCCGTGAACTTTTTGAGGTCTCCTGACTCTAACAATAACTCTTCCTGGCTTGGCGTCTCATTGGCCTTGGGGAAGCGTTGGCTCTTTCTCCTTCCCCTCCCTCTGGTCAGCTGCCCTCGATATTGGGCTCATTCACAATCCTCCAGTTTCCCAGACAATGAGGTTTCTTGTGCTTATTGCTAAAGTCCCCTTATTAACCCCGCAAGAGAGGTTTCTGATTACAGAAACAAATGCTCTGCTTTCTACTACCCAGAATGTCTTCATTCCAACAAAACCCCAGCCCATCCAGCCAGCTCAGGATCTGGTGTTAATTAAAAGCCCTTTAAGGTGATCTCTTTTAGCAGATTGGCCAAAACAGTTGAAAGGACCAAGCAGGGCAGTAGCGACACGAGGATCCGATAGCTTTCTGCACCTCCTACCTCTTACCCACCCCAGACTACAGGGCAGGTGGAAAAGGCAGGTAAGGATTCTTTCAGTGAAACCCAAAATGAAAACAGCAACAATAACACCAAACACGAAATAAACAGTTCTCCCAAGAAACAGAGTTTGGATGAGGCTCTCAGGAGCATCCCAGGACACACAAATGTCCACATTAAGACAGGAAAAGCAAAGATAGACCAAGGCACTCTTTGGGTAGGAGACTTTGATCTCCTATGAGTTGCTAAGAAAAGCCCCTCATGCTGCAACATCCTCTCCCAGACTCAAACCAACAATTCATGATTCCATGCTAGATGGCTCCATTTAAGATCTCTATCATGTCAATCATCCACAAGAGGTTAATCATTTATAATCACCTGGGATGGTCAATGTTCCCTTTATCACTGTTATTGGTACTGCCTATAAACAACGAAGACCTAATCCTCACTGTACCTACATTAGGGCCTCAGGATACAAGAATGAACCTACAACGAAATGTCAGTCTCCTGCATGACTGGGAGACACTCCAGTGGAAGCATGACGGACTGGGAAAATTCATGATGGACACACATTATGAACCTACAGGGGAGAACAAAGAGGAGGGAAGGGAATTTGGGGAAGGGGGAAGGGAGAGCCCACTGCCAACTACATTATATCAAAAAAAATTTTTTAAGTACAAAAAAAATAAATAAATATATAGGTTAAAAAAAATCTCTATCATGAACACATGTGTATGAACAGCCAAACACTAACTGACAGATTTCCCCACGCCTCCAAAATATTTGTAAATATGTTTCATGATTACTAACGTGAACTTGGTGAGCATCATTGGCTTGGGGACCAGCCAGAAGTAACTGGATTCAGTTCTTTCACACACTCCACTGCTGCAAGGAGCCCACTCCCCGGGGGGAGCAGAAATGAAGCAGGTATGTACTTTACGGGTGGGAAGCACAGACATGCCCCTCCTCTTTCAGCCTCACAGAGCAAACAAGAGGCTAGGGATTCAACAAGGAAAGAAAGGGGTGAGCAGAGAGAAAGAAAGAGAGACCACTGGGCATTAGCCACATGCCACACCCTTCCTTTCCCTGACTCTCCCGTCAGCCCTGAAGTCACATTTCACAGAGAAGGTCGCTAGGTGCACAAAGGTCACACAGCACACAGAGAGCTCCCAGGGGGATGCTCCAGCCTGCCAATGCACAGTGAGTCATTCACTGCCTCAATTCATCCCTACCAACTCCTTGAGGCAAATGTTAACCGCTACCTTCCTTTCACAGAGTGGCAAAAGCCAGAACTAAGTGATGCCACGTGCTTCCTACCTGTGCTCCGCAACCTCCCTGTTTACTGCCAGTGTCATCCTGGAGACAGGAGCCCCCGCTTGAATTGTGGGCCATCTATCACTAGCTATTTGCCATGGGGGCCAATGTCTTTGCCTCCTCTGTAGTGTAGGGAGTGAGCGTGGTTCCAAGGCACACTCGGTGGGTTATGTTTTGCCTACCGTTTTCCCAGCTCTTCCTCTCAACACCTGGGGGTAGATACTACTTTCTTTATGCTGCAATAGGTAAGTCTGGAGCCTGTGCATTTGATCTGGCAATCATGACAGCATCTGGAACATCTGCATTGCAGGTCAGCGTGCCTGGGCCGAGTGTGGTCTCTGCTCTCCATGTCAGCCTCCTGCTGATGCATGCCTTGGGAGGCAGCAGGGTCCAGGTGTTCTGGTCCCTGTCACTCAAGTGGGAGACCTGGACTGGGTTCCTGGCTCCTGCCTTTATCCTATTAAGGACATCTGGGGAGTGAATCCATGGTGGGAAGATCGCTCTCTGTCTCTCTCTCTCTCTCTTTCCTCTCTCTCTCCCCTCTTTTTTCTAAAACCATTTGGGGGATCAGCGTTGTGGCTGCCACCTGATTTGAACCCTGGATGTTCTGCTTTCGATCCAGCTCCCTAAAAATGTGCTTGGGGAGGCAGAAGAAGATGCCCAGAGTTTGGACACCTAGATGGCATTCCTGG